GCCGGAAAATACCTATTTTGTGAATTATCCGCTTGGGAAACCTGATCTTCCTAGCCGGTGAATTAAATTCAACCATTACTTACATATTGAATCTCTGTGTGGTAAGTCCAGCTGTCTCGAACTACTGCCAAAGCTTCAGGTGCTATTTTTGTAGCAGCATCTTCCTCACTCGTTCAGATAAACTAGACTTGTTGGTCTACCACGTGATTGCTGTAAAGCCGATCATCCAGAAAGTACTAGGTAAAGTCGAAAACCTTTTCTTTTCCTTGTCTTGTACTTTTTCAGTCTTATTCTTGTTCTTGTGGGTAGATACTGTTGCACTCTTATTCTTATACAGCATAAGTTTTAGCGATAGTTAATATGGGTGTAGAAAGTAACCTTAGAAATGGCACCAAAACACCTTACTCTGTAGTCACAAGGGCTTCAGCCAGAGAAGGCAAAAACCCAGGGACACCAACCCCAAGTCGCATACCCACCCTAAAGACTTGTGTAGGTCTCGTCTTTCCTGATACTACGCCTGCATTGCCATAGTCTAGTACTGAAACGGCACAGACAATACCAGGGGGACAGATACTACACCTGCATCAACTAAAAGCCAGTGTTTGAAACATAGCAAACCTAAAAGGAAACGCTCAAGACGTCATAAGACCTCAAAGGCGTCACCAAGTAAGGGAGACGAATGCCAGGCGTGCAATATCATTGTTTCTAAAGCTGACTCAGCGTTCGAATGCAATTTTTGCAAACGGTGGGTGCACTGCCGTTGCGACAAAGAGGTACCGAAAGCATACTATGAGTTTATGAGAAATAACCCGTGCCCGTGGTTTTGGTACATATGTCCACTCTGGAAACGGGCACTGCCTGTGAAAAACACGTGCGTGACGTACAGCAGTGGAGATGACTGTCGTCTCAGATGGCCCTTGGCGCTTCTGGAGCCATCTCCGTTTACCGACTACCTCGCCCCGCTCATCTCACACTGATTAGCCCCCCAAAGCTGCTAAGTGTGACATTCAACTCCCCAGAGCAGTTGGCCATAACACTTCAACGATGGTATGAGATCAAGGGGAAAATGGGAGGACACATGCGATGCTGCGAAAGCAGACCTCGAACCATAAGGAGGTAGCAAACGGAGGCTTTAATACGTCCCCAAGCTTCAGTGACACTAGAGCGATGCAGTTCTGAGAATAACAGTCCATGTCACCCAAGTGTCCTGCCTAAATCCATGGGAAAAAACCACAACGGGCCGGTTCCATCGGAACTGGCCATCTAGTACCAACATTAAGTCCCCTACCAGCAGACAGCTTCACGTCAACTACCCCACAACACGCTGAGGTTGTAAGACTCACTGTCAACTGCCTATGTAGCAATGTGAGGGGGCTGAGAGGAAAAATAGGTGAACTCCGAAATCTCCAAGCACACCTACATCTGAAAATGATCACTCTCACCGAAACATGGCTAACCCCCACTATCACCGATAATGAAATCAGTATAGGTGATATGGATTTGGTCAGGAGGGACAGGGATAATAAGGAAGGAGGGGGAGTTGCTATATACTTTGATAGGCAACTTAAATGTGTGCGCGCAACGGACCCACCACTTATTGAACTCCCAGACTCCATATGGTGTCATTTCACCGTAGGCCACACCAAGCATTTACTTGGTGGCATCTACCGATCTCCCACATGTGGGGCAGAGCACAATCAGCTACTGCTCAGCACTATCACAGGGATACGAGGCTTGGGCTATGACCAAATCACCATTGCTGCAGATTTCAATGCCCCGTCACTGAACCTTGGCTCGGGGTATGCTAGGGGAAAATTCGGCCGAAATCCACTGCAAGCTATTCGGAACACGGGACTGACTGAGAATGTTGGAGACGACACTAGGTGGGGCCCTAGTGGAAAGTCATCAAAACTAGACTACATTCTAACTTGTGACCAACTACTCGTCGAAAAGGTCCAGATCATGACTCCTCTGGGAAGTAGTGACCATGCAGTCATAGGTTTCGATCTCGTTCTCCGTGAGCAATTGCAGTGGGACGCTACGCAACCATGTCTGTGCCACAGCAAGGCTGACTATGCTGAAATGCGGAGGCACTTGTCCGATGCAGACTGGCCCTTAGCATGGGATGAGCTGTCTGTGAATGAACTCTGGGAAGCGGTAAAATAGATTATTCATACAGTAATCTCGGATACCGCCCCTTTAGTCACATCACAGCCCAAAAGAAAGTCATCATGGTTAAAGAGAGGCACGCAGCGTATTCTGCAAGCAAAGCGGAAGGCTTGGTTTACATGGCGAGTATCTAAAAGCCAGATCGACCATGATGCATACCTGGAACTCAGGAACCGATGCAATGCAAGAGTCAGGAGGGACACGAGGTCATTCCAGGTTAACCTTGCTAAAAAACTCCTGGCAAACCCGAAGAATTTGTACCGGTTCATGTCGGAAAGGAAACCAACCAACCAAGGGGCATGCGCCTTAGTAGGCCAAAACGGTCAATATCTCACTAGTCTGGAGATGGCTGAAACATTTAGTTTAGCCTTCGCCAAACAGCTAAACAGCACTGTGGGTATTACCGTTACGGACCAAGATGGTGGCATGATCATTTCACAGGAGGAAGACCAAATAGCCACCCCCCCAAATAAACCCTGCAATAGTACTGAGAATGCTGCAGCGACTCATACCTGGAAAGTCCCCAGGTTGTGATGACATCAGGCCATCTGTTCTGAAACAGTGCGCCGATGATCTCTGTAGGCCTTTATGCGACTTGTTCCAACACTCCATGGAATCGGGGAAACTGCCAAGGGAATCGAAAAGAAGCATCCTTTCTCCGATCTTCAAGGGTGGGGATAGGCAAAATCCCACTAGTTTTAGACCAGTAGCTCTACTCCCAGTGGTATCAAAAGTACTGGAAAGTATTATTGATGATCACATCAGGGAATATCTCGATAGGTCTAAAATACTCCATGAAGCCCAACACGGTTTTAGGAAAGGGAGACCCTGCGTCACTAACTTATTATCAGCTTCGGACGACTGGACATCATGCTGGGATATGAATGTTCCAGTCCATGTGATCTTCCTAGACTTTGAGAAGGCATTTGACACAGTTAACCATGACCTTCTCCTACACAGAATAAGTCAGGCAGGTATATGTAAGCCACTTCTGTCATGGTTAAGGGACTACTTAGCTGAAAGGCAATTTCGCACAAAAGTCAATCGAGTCCGATCATCTTGGCATAGCTCGTCATCAGGAGTGTCGCAGGGTTCTATCCTGGGACCAATGATGTTTTTGATTTTATATCAATGATCTACCATGCCGTCTAAGCTGCCAGACTCTTCTATACGCTGATGACGTGAAGATATGGAGGGCGATAAAGTATCCGGAGGACTCAGATAGACTGCAGGCAGATCTAAACCTTCTGGAAGACTGGGCGGTGGCCAGTGGCATGACTTTCAACCTGAAAAAGTGCAAAGTAGTGAAGTCACGCACCTGTGGACTGCAGAATCTAAGTTACACCCTGTGCAATGAAGGCTTGTCCTGCTCAACCCCGGAACGCGACTTAGGTATTGTTCTAACGGAAAAAATGGACACAAGCGTTAATTACACGGGGATTTAGGGAGGGCATATGCGGTCATACACTTACACATAGACAATTAGGTGCACTCACTCCTGAGCTCTTTCTAAGGTTGCATAAAACATACGTCAGACCGAACCTTGAAGTGCACTTTGAAGAAGAGACGCCAACCTCTTGGAAAGAGTCCAACGACGGGCAACAAAAGGAGTGGTTGGTCTCCGAAATAAACCATATGATGAAAGGCTGAAGAAATCAGGCCTATTCACACTTAGCTACCGTCGTCTTAGGGGGGATTTAATTACCGCCTACAAAATAACAAATGACCAGAATCACCCATACAAAAATTTTCTGCCATTGAGTAGGTATAGGCTCCCTCGTGGAAATCCCAGAAGGATAGCCCACCAGAGGGCAAGGACCCGGGTGCGCTCCCACTTCTTTTCACTGCGGGTTTGCCGTCCCTCGAATTCCTTACCGGCAGGTGTAGCTATGGCACCGTCTGTGGACGCCTTTAAGTGAACAATCATGCAGCGACACAAGGACTGCGTCCAAATGGCCTATCCCCTTAAAATCGCATACACCATTCAAAGGTAGACAATTAAATTGGTCGTTTTACTTCTTTACATTCTCTTCCGTCTTACTCTCCTGACAGCTTTAACTACACCTATTATTATTATTATCACTTTTACTGGTATATATTTATATATACCGGTTGACTGACCGTTGTTACGTTTTCTTATTCTTTTTCTGTCTGTTAGTCTGAATACCTTCACTAATTATATCTATTATTATTATCTCTTTTCTATTGACGACGATATCGGAGGACTAACTGGTGAAAGGATCAACTCCATTCACAGTAGTAACAGTCTTAACACGCCTCATACTACAAACCACATGTAATTAATCCCTGCACTACTCCTTTTGGAGTCAACCAAAGCTACGCCAGTCGAGTGGCGGGACGAGCTACGCAGACGTTTACCGAAGATCAGGAACCTCTACCTCACAATCAAGAGGCGAGCACAAAGAAATCAAATTGGTTTATACTAGCTCGTAAAAACGATCTTGGATATTGGAAAATCATTGCTGAGGGTTGGATTGGGTTTAAGGTTAATTTGGGGGTGAGAATTAGGTTAGGCTCAGGGTGAATGATGGTTGGGAAAACACACAAACGGTATATAGCTACGACCAACCAAACGACCCCCTAACAGATTTGCAGAAATACTCAAGACACAAAAGCATTCTTCTGACTACTCTAATCAGTTTAATTGAATTATGGATAAACTTGGAAAACAGTGGAATATGTCGTTTGGCAGCTTAAACACTTAGATTTGCTATTTATTGGCAAATTCACAAGTTTTAACAGTCTTTTATTTTGATTTACATCTCAAGGTCATTCAGAGGTTATGATTGCCCGAAAGTATCATAGTTTACGCGGAGAACTTGATGTGTAGGTCGTTTTTCCATATTTCAGAATTATTCGTGTGGAATCGGAGATTTGGGGTCTGTGTTAATTCTTTTGTGATAAGTTTCTCTGCCTGTCTAAAACCTTCTTACGCGAAACAATTGAAGTTGCATGCACGATTTCCTGAGGAAAATTTTCGGGGTTTTCGTAGAGAAATATTGCGTTCATCCGAGATTTTTTATTTGAGCTTGGTAGAAGAACCAGTAGACCATAACGAGATATTTCCTCATAAGCTCTCCAATTCTCTTGCTATGTCCGATTTGCTGAAAAGGAAAAAAAGAGAAATCAGGTTCAGGGGCATTTTTCAGCTGAACGACAACTAATTAGAACATTTCACTGATGAGCATAATTCTTTACTTATGAATACAGTCAATAATTATTGTCAATATACATGTATATCTGCCTGTATATAAGAGTGAAGTTTTCCACGGACAATAGAATTGGTGTAAATAGTGGGTGCAACACTGGGATTATTGTGACAAATTAAGAATTGTGAAAAAGAGGGAGTTGGCGGCAATGCCTCCGTTATTTCCCATTGCTTTTGTCCATTCATACGTGCGAATTTCGTCCCAACTTCAGGCCTACGTTTCCCCATTTTCGACTGATTGTCGATACACATTTGCTTAAGGCGGTCCGAACTATTAATTAAACGATGAAACACCACTAAACATGTATGCAGTAAGAATATGTTGCGCTGAAAATGGCATTCAGTGCGAAACTTATGCTATAGCTGTTGTTTAAACTAGTAATCAATGCTGAAATAACTCAATCGGACAAATGTGTGGAACATTTTCGGGAAAACGGGGAAGAAAAGGGGCTATTTTCTTTCAAAGGGGGAAAATCCGATTAAATGGGACAATGAGGGGAAAATGTCTTAAGACTAAAAGCGGAGAAAAAGTGCCCATTAGCCTTAAATAGCACAAAAACGGCTTTCAATGCTGGATGAATGCAACAAGCTTGGTAATAGTCCTGGTAAACCTAAAAAAGCACTTAATTCTCAAATAGTTTGGTATACCGCCTTATTTTGTCGTCATTGCAAGGTTAGACCGCAGATATTTTGGTCAGAAAGACCACTAAAATCTTGAGACTTACTCTGAGACGTGACTTGTTTGCTCCAAGTTTTCCGTGTCTGTAATGTACCCTAAGCTTTTGTTTGTCTTTCCTTCATCAACATGGTCACCACTGTATTGACATTAAAATGCTTAAGATTTCAAGAATGTGGAAATAATTCTTGGGAATGCAGAATAATGCATATTTGTTTGGCAACACAATGCACGATACGCAATTAGATTGAAGTAATAATCCATACACATATGTCTCATTACTCACATGGGAACATGACTGCTAACCATTCTTACAATGATCATATCCCGTAAGCTCTAAACCATTTCAAGACAATCAGTAAACATAGCATCTCACCTCCGAATTTCAACATATGCCTTTATCTTTTAACACGTGTGAATTCTTCGCACGATGTTTTATCTTTCTTCGCGTGATAATTTTACTTTCCACATGCTTACTTAAACAGAAATGGCCTGACTACTTGAATGCTCATTATCCTGAGAATTTCTCACATTCCAGGTTCATTTGTTAAATGAACAAGGATATTAAAACGTAGTTTACACGTGAAACAGCAGTGCCGTTTTGTTTGCAGTAGCTCTGAGTAACTGAGTTAGATGTCTAGAGGTTAACGTTTACTAAATTAATTTACGTTCTTTACCGTGTTTATTAACTTTCTTTGCTAGTAAGAAAGAATATATCGATTCACATCACGTTTGTCTTGAAATTCGGCTGATCTCACCGGTCAAACTTAGAACAAATTTGCTTAGGGATAGACAAAAGGCACTATTGCTCGTCCAAGCCAATGTGTATAGACTACTTTGTGTTGAATCATATGACTGAAATTAAAAGCAGTTATTGAATTCCTAAACACAGATTGATTTCTGTAGAATATATTGCTGAAAGCTAACACGCTTCGGCATATGTCTATTACATGCTTTACTTTGTCAAATGATATTTTCACACTCAAAAGTAAATGTATCAACTTGAATGAAATGTCAGATTTGCATTAATTACGTACATGCGCTTGCATGATGTGCCATATTTTTCGAAAGAAGAGTGAACAAAGCAAAGTAATTCCATGAGGCGGATAAGTGGGAATTAGTTTTGCATTTGTTACAGAATGTGGCTTAGTTTTATTTCATTGACAAGCTGTTTGACAGTAATTTTTGTTACGTAATACTCATGTGGGAACAAAGTGGTCTCAAATGTGAGTTTATTTTGGTGAAACGGATAGTTACTAGAGAAAATGGTAGGTAAATGTCGGAAGACTTCTGTCGCAGGGTAGATGTTTAGTAGGAGGGAAGGAACGGAGACATTGCACAGAAAATGTTATCACAATGAGTTATAAATAGATGGCGTGTATATTTACCTCTTCAGTCAGATGTCACCGAGTGCTTCTCCAGTTATCCGTATAGTTACTCATTCTGTTTCACTCTTATAATTACCTAAATTCGATTGATTCTCTTCTCTCATTTTCCTGTCTACCTTTGTGTGCTATTTGGAACGTGGCAACTCGAACTGCTGCACTTCGGTGCCAAGTTCTATGTTGAATCCAGCAGCAGCAGTCTCCGTATAGTTAATTAGCCTACCAAAGATAATGCGGATGCTGTTTATGCATGCAGTTACTTCTATTTGTATTTTGATAATGAAGTAGAGTTAAGTTCAGTACCTTAGGCATTTCTTCTAAAGGCAATTGATCATCCCTGCTTTATGCAATTACTCATTCTAAGTTTTTTGAAGACTGCTTCGATTAGGACTTATCGAACATTCACTTATTCACCTTAGTAGTCTATGTGGTGTTTGAATTTCTTATAATTTATTAGTACTAAAAATATCAAATTAGTAGCGTTTTATATCAACTTTCATCAAGAATTATCCTATTAGCTCCACCAAAAATGGGCATATAAAGATTGTGTTTGTACAAATATAGACAATATTGAAACAGGTGATTACGTTTCGTTTACCGAACTGGTTGGGACCTATTCAGGGTAATAATGTGCAATGAATACCAAAGATATATATATATATATGCATTTCGCTAAGTTCTCATATTACAGCCTACACAGCATGTTAGCTCCATAAAAGTGCTGCTAGAAGTTAGTTTATTTAAATGACTTTTGATGAGTTTTAAAGTTAATTAAAAACATGCGCTACTGCTTATTTCAGAGCTTATCTGGTTGTTGAGTAAAATCACATGTGGCTACAAGATACTTTGAATGTAGTGATACTCCTTCTTCATGCATTGCGAGAGGTGATCTGAACTTCTAGCTCAGAAACGATCAAATAAACAGGTTCCGTCTCACTCCCCTTTGTTACATATGGTTTGAAAACTCTGAGATAACTAAGTTGTGAGTCTCTAAGTTACGTTAACTGACGTTTAAGTTGTGACTAACAGTATTCTTGTCCTCTATATATTAAGCGATAAAATTTGTATTTCGTATTTATGTAGGTGATTTACAGGAAAACCTATTTGATTCATATTAGGATCTTGAATCTAGTCAAAATGACATAAGTGCTGTTAGGAAAGTTGTATTAGTTACATACATTATGCGTAGCTACCAAGCATGTTACCCTTAGGACTTCCTTTCCGTGGGAAATTAATAAAGTAGTTTGTAAATTTACCCCATCTTTCCTAATCCAATAAAATCTCATTGCATTGCTTGTAGCACATGTCCATAAGGGTAGCCAATCATCTGAAAGCCATTTAAATATGACGACACACAACCCCAGGGGAAAATCCTCATCAATGAGTACTCGTATTTCTAAATATGAATGAATGTCCGATTTTGGTTGTTAAATGTTAAAGTTTTGATTGACAGTTTTGTCAGTGTGAGACTAGATGTTGTGTAGTTGAGTTCGTTGAAAAAAAGAAAAGTTATCCGATTGTACAGTTATTGGTGCCTGATTAATGCAAAGATGTGTAGCTTTATCTATAATTCTTCAGGCCTCCAAATATGGGTTGAGCATGATCAGTCTATTCTTTGGTTTTGTATTTAGAAAAGGAGATGTGATTTTTCACTTAACCTGCTTGTTACCTTTTTAATCTTTCGTAAGTTGTTCTCCCTACTACCTTCCACTGGACTTGTTTTGATTGCCATGATTTCAAGTAATAGGTGGAGAACAGGAATTGTACTGTCTGTCTGTCTGTTTTCGACATAGAACTTTGCACATATGTGCGGCAGTTCAAGTCGCCACAATCTATGTAGCACGCAAAGCAAGAGAAGAAAGTAGAAGAAATGCATAATATAGACAGTAAACAGGGGTGTGAGACAAAGGAATAGTAATAACGGAGAACAAAAGTTTAATTGGAAATCATAAGTCACAAGGAGTGGATGCATCTGCGCCACTGAGAACGATTTTGAGCCATGTCACCAATTGTTTCCAACCATTGGTTTTTACCATCCCGAGGGCCCCAACCAGGAAGTCTACATCTTCCTACGTGACTTAGATTAACTGTTGTGGATTTCATTGATTGGTGCCATGTTTTGGTTTGACCGCCGCTAGCTCTTTTCCAGCCTGACCCTATATCAGCTAACATTGCCCGTCGAGGAAGGCGATGACTAGGCATACGTAGCACATGTCCTATCCAGGAATTGTACGGTATTTTAAAGTAAAATAACCCATTTACTTGCCATGTATGTGCGTCGGTGGCACAGTGGTAGAGTGCTCCCCGACCACTCAGATGGTTCGGGGTTCGATTTTCGGCCGACGCGCTCCTTTACCTCGCTAAGCCAGTAGTAAGACTGGTAAAGAGGGAAGGTCGGGCATTAGGCTAGCAACCCCATCCTGTAAAAATAATCACCACTCCTACAGAAACTTCAAGGCTCTACCCTGGAGCCCTATGTTCCACTGGGAACGTAAAGGAATAAAAAAACTTGTCATGTATACCTTAAATAGTTTATTCGGATTTTCTGTTGTTCTCACTTAGCAACATGATCTTCCTAACACTTAGAGATCAAACAATACGAATTTTTCCCACTGCTTTCCCTTCATTTCGTGTTAATTTCTTTTGTTAGCTGAAGTATGCAGGCCGATGAATATAATGGAAAGACTGTGCTTGTCATAAATCATACCCATATGGTTAGCTGTTCCTCTGGAGATGAATTAAACCTGGATCCAGGAGCTAAATTCTCTTCAGCAAAAGTGACATTTCACAAGTCAATATGGAGCAATCTAGTTGAAGGTGTTATACAATACTGTCGTGTTGTTTTTGATATATTTTCTACAGAGAAGCCTGTAAGTCCCACTTGATAAGATTACTCACTTCTCAAGATATCCATAGTAACATTTGATGATGAAGAAAAAATTCATTCCATATGGTTAAATGAAGATCAGAATTTGGATACAGTAAGTTGATTCATTGTAAGTTAATGATTTTTTTTTATAAGATTTGGAATATATTCTCCCATGAAGGTCCTCCGAAAAGCTCTACACCTAATCTTGATTTCAAATCACTTCCTGGTTTGTCTTCAGCATGTCATCTGTTACAAATGTTGACACCGCATCAAAAGGAAAATCAGTGTACTGATAATAAAGGTAGAGTGGTTGTCCTAAGTATGTCTATGAGGTAATACTTCGTTCAGTTATGATAAAGTTTTATTGTAGTAATCAGATTAGTTCGTGGATTCCAGATATTTTAGCCACTTTGGAGAAACCTGTTGATGCACCAGAGTAAGTTTCATTATGAGTTATGTATTTCGTATAATTTTATCATTATATACAACAAATTTATTTTAGATATTCATATGTTCAACAATGCATATTACGTTCATAACTGTTTTTGTGCTTTCTTCCTCGTCTTCTTCTTATTGTTACTATTGTTCCTTTGGGTTCCGCTGGGAACATAGGACTTCAACAGCACATCTCTACCTTGTCCTATTCTCTACGGTCCTTTATAGCTGGCTGCATGATTGCCCATAGTCTCTCATCTCCTTGTTCATGTCACCCTCTGACTCGCAATTGTCGTTTCCTATTCGAGTTCCACTTCAGGGCCTGGTGCGTGACGTCATCCAACGGTTCTCTCAGCGCGTGTTCGACCCATCTCTATTTTCTTAGGGATATTTGTGGAGGAATAAGTTATTAATTAGTTCGTCCCCAGAGGTCCTTGTTCCTAACGCTTTCTGGCCATCTGATGTTACGGTATGGCGCGACGACAGCTGTTGATAAAAGTCTGCTGACTGGTGGAAATGCATTTCGTGACACGCCAAGTTTCTAACATATGTACCAGAACTTCGTTCTTTATGTTGAGCGCTGAAGATTTCCAAACTGATTTCAGAGGGATGAAGGTTTGTCTTGTCTTTCCAATCCCTGCCGTCTACCTGTAGTTGAGAAAAATGCTGCCTATGTAAGTGAAGGAAGTGACCTCTTTCAAATTTATTCTATCGATAGGGATTGGTGTTTGTTGTTAGTTGATTGATTGTTTTCATCGCCTACGTCTTCTCTGTATTCACTTAAAGTCTTGTGTTTGCTGCTTCTCCTGCTAGCTTTTTGGTTTTCGCCTCACCTAGTTTTCTAGCCAGTCCCAAGCCCAGGAAAAGGGAAAGAGTTAGGCATGGGGTTAGCGACCCTACCCCGGAAAATCAATGCAGTCACCACAGAAACTTCAAAGCACAAGAAAAATATGAAAAACTTCTCACTAATAGTCAGATAGAAGAGATTCAAAAACTCATACAGGTAGTGCTGGTCTCAGTTTCTGATAAAAATAGTTTAACTGTCAGTTGTTAGGTGGTTTATTGAGATTCGATTAGTTTAAACATTTATTTTGTCATAAAACACTATGAGCCTGAGAATCTTTCACTGGTTGAATGTTAGTCAGTGAAGAAGTCCTCCACGGGATCAGCTGAATTCTCGAGACTTACCAGATGAATTGCAATCCACAGTTCATTGGTAACTAGTTTCTCTATAGATTCCTCGTTTCTAGTGATAAGTTAAGACCAGTGAGTTATTCTAAATGCATTGTAAGGTTAATCAATGGTTGGTAGCATTGAATGCTGATTACATTATATCATTTATCAGAGGACGGGAATCATTCACTGTTATATCCCAAAACCAATGTCTGAATAGTATAACTTGGTAATAAACTGATGATTCTGGACAACCACCCCCTCTATTACACAGACACAGGTTCGAACACGTAAGAATTCTGAACTAGGACGAAACAGATTTTCAATGCTGTCCAGTTTCAAACTATCTTATAGATAATGTTGGTTTCTAATAGAGTTCAACTTGATATAAATTGTTGACTACATAAATAATTAGAATTTTGTTACAAAGTCAATCACTTGTTCTCACTTATTTTTTAGATGTGTAGCTGTTACTTCAAGTGAATGGATATTTATTGATCTATTTCCATCTTCAGAGTTTTCAATGGAAGCGAACGAAGTATATCCGAAACGTATTCAGGTTAGTTTACTGTCGGTACATTGATTAGTTCAAGAGAAAACTTTGCTATCATTATCACTATTCTCTTATGTTCCAGGTGAAACAAAGGACTTTAACAGCACGTGCAATCCTTTTTAGCCGGCTGCACAATTGCCAATAAGCTTTCATTTCCTCCTCAAACGATCTACTCCATGTGACTCTGCGACGCCCAACTCGTCGTTTTTCGTTCGGGTTTGAGTAGAAACTCAAAGGTCTCAGTAGGGGGGGATCCAAGCCATCTCCAGTTTGCTCAGCATATTTTTTAAGCAATAGTTTCTTGATTGACTCGTTTCTAGAATTCCTTGCCGCTAACTCTCTCTGGTCATCTCCTGTTCAGTATGGAGTGAAGGCAACTGTTGATAAAAGTGTGCAGCTTGTTGGAAATGCTTTTTGGCGACACGCTAAGTCTTTGAACCATATATAACTAACTAACTAACTAACTTGACATTAGCGTTAAAAATCCAAATCCCGTTCTTTATGTTTAGCGCAGCAGATTAACCTGATGATTTCAGATTAGTGGAGGTGTGTCTTGCTTTTCCTACCCTGACTTTGACATCTTCATCCTTTCCACATGCAGCTGAAACGATGCCGCCCAAAAGAGACGACGTTCTTCAAATTTCTCCCGTTGATAGTGATTAGTGCTTGCTGTTGTTCGTTAGGTACCTTCGTCATCTCTGTCCTTTCTACATTCATTTAAAGTTCAAATCTTTCAGAGTCTTCTTGTTGGTGTAGCATATTCCTGTCTTCTCGTCGCACGATCCAGTCCATCACAAACAGGAATATCGTTGGTAGTATTGTGGTGAGAGCTGTCTGCTAGCCTCAATTGTAGACAACAATTTACTTCAATGTTTACGTCCCAAATCGGGGTCATTAGAAAAATAAACCTTGAGGAACTCACCAACCAATCACAGCAGACTTAACGTGTGCAAATACGATTCGCAGATATATGGCCTGACTTTCTAAGAAACGGCCGCAAAGGGATGGCAGAATAACCTTCAGCAAGAAAACAACTAATCCTAAGACGTTGCTTCTCTGCTGATAGTAAGAAATAATATTAATATACATAAAAATTTATAAATATCTTTTGATTTTCTCAATAAACAATCTGTTGCCTGGCCCTTGTCTTGCTCCTGGCTTCCCTTCAAAGGCATCTTGAGTTTTTCTATTGTGAATCACTTGGCATGCGGCATCATCAAAAAGGTGTTGAATGAAGTTTTATAAAAGGTTCGGGAAATGCCGTACCGTTGAAACACCTGCCAAATTACTTCACGATCGAGTCTATCGAAGACATTTTCAAAGTTGACGGCGTTGAGATAGAGATTTGACTTCCTTTCTATGCTGTGTTCGTTAATGATGCGTATAGTTGCAGTCGGGTTCACAGATTATTTGCTTTCCCTGAACTGAGCTTTTTCCTAGAGGATTTTCGCATCTATATCATCTTTTAGTCTCTCCAGGATGAAGTAACTTAATATTTTGCTCGGCGTGGAAAGTAAACATCGGTTTATTCATTCAGATTATTTTGTTATCACATTTGTATCAGCCACACACACACACACACAGTCTACCAGTTATATCAGTAGTATATGTATTTTTCTCTCTACGAATGGAATTAATGAATTATCACTTTTTTCCCCCGTATTTTTAAAAAATTAACTCATGTTTAGCTGCCTGATCATCTAAGTTCAAATGTTCAACATCATTTTTACTATCATAAACTTCAAGCTACCAGTCAAGAATTATATCAAGGTTTAATGCGTCTTGCAGAATCTCACTACAATCTATCAAGTACACTTGTTCAAGATATTCCAATGAAAGAAGAGGCTAATGTTAATTCTGGTAGTTCAATGTATGGTGTTGAACTTCTCCATCGGACTGAAGTACATGATTTATTAAAATGTGCAGGATTATTTGAAAAATTACTGATACGTACACAAAGTGAAACTGATAAGTCACCATCACGTCCGAATTCAGGCTTTTCAAGAACACTCGGTATCAAATGGGTTACACCTAAAACATCAGATGCAAGTGAGTATATTGGTTTTGTTTTACTTCAGATAATCCCCATCCAGATATTGATGAAAAACAAAACACGTAGTTCAGCGAAGAGTCTTTTTACGGCGAATTCATTCACTCATGTAGTTGCGATTGTACAGCTAAGTGAATGAATTCACCGAAAAGAAACTCTGCTAAACTACGTGTTTTGTTTTTATTTCAGATAATAGGAATGTGTGTTTAGTGGATTCTAGGCAATTTTTATCTCGATTTAAGCGTGCTTTCTCTTAAATTGCCTTTGAAGCTGCTGTTTGGTAAACTAATTAGATAGAGGGCGGCTCGACTTCTGTCTTCCTCTCGAAATGTCCTCATGTGGCCACGCGTTCATAGTTGCTGCTAGGGGAGTCCTATTCACTGCCTTCACGCGATGGGAGTATTCCTCGCAAAAGTGAAAGGCTGGAAGCGAACGTTTGGTACCTACAACCGGACTGGTGGACACTCAGGTCTATCCAGGGGAGCTGGAAAACCCTGATTCGTAACCTATATGGTATTCATGGGCTCCAGAATCCTAACGGATCGAACAGCGTACGAATCCACTTTGTTCATCGAAAACTATGGGGACGCTGCTCCACCGCCTTGTGGATCAGACTCCAAGTCAAAGGCTCAAGAGGGGATGGCCTCTTAAGACAACCATCTGTTTGAATTTAGGCGTCAAGGCAGTATCTCTTACCCGTTTCACAAACTATGAGATTTCGTGAAGCGCATCACTTGGTGCCCATAATTTGCCATGTTTGTGTTCTTATTGTAATAATAATACTATTAGATTAGTTCAACCAAAATATTATATAAAGAAAACAGAATACGTGTGGCACATTTTGATATTACGGTCTGTTTAATACTACTGTGATATTTTCTGGCCGATTTGATGAAAATTGTTACCTTCAGTCTTCGGAATTAAATATTCTGACTACGTTGCAAAGGATAATTATTGAGAATTCTTTGCACACCTCACTTATTTATACGCAAAGCTTTTCTGAATAACTTCAGATTGTAAAGTAAAAATTGTTAACGTTGACATTGTATTATGTTTTATTTACTGTTGTGCTCAAAGAATTTCAATGAGTTTCTGGCTTTCAGCTGACTCAACTTTTGTCGATTTTCGGTTGGACCGAGTGGTTATATTTGTTTTTTTTGTTTCGTATAGAGAATCTCAATTATTCAAATATTGATTTGTAGGGATTTGATTGATTGGTTTCAGGATTTCATGGTGAGTTGATATCGGTTAGAGGACCACTGAAAGACCTGTGAGTACTGGACAACTGTTTCGTCCCAGTTTGGGACTCTTCATCAGTACGCACCCACCGGGGTTTGAACCCAGGACCTCCCGGTTAGAAGGTGTGCTCGTCAACCATTAAGCCACTGGGACTCGGTCCAATGACCCATGAATTCTAACTTCTGGCAGCAGGTTGAAGGTGAGGCAGTAATTCATCGAAGAAAACATTGCGAAGTGGTCGCGCTATGTCATGAATTGGCAGAAGTTAGAATTCATGGGTCATTGGATCGGGTCACAGTGGCTTTATGGTCGACGAGCACGCCTTGTAACCGGGAGGTCCTGGGTTCGAACCACCTGTGGTGGGTGCGTGCCGACGAAGAGTCCCGAACTAGGACGAAACAAGTGTCCAGTACTCCAGTGCTGGTTTCCAATGGTTCTCTAACCGATGTCAGTTTATGATGAAATTCTGTAACCAATCTTAATTATCTCCACTGATTTTATTGCTTAGCTTTTATCAGAGTTTTTGATCATCATGTTAGGTATATATTTTTCGGACTGTATTTGCATTAAAGTGGTGGCTAGTATTGCTATTTTGAAAGAACCTGCAAGCAGGTACTGTCTTATCACGCGTTTTATTTCATTATTGAGCAAATGAAGCCTATGATGTCGGCTTCTATTATGATGGAGTGATACTGCGTTGTAGGCTTATCTAAGTAGACCAGAACTTCTGCTCAGAACTCGACATTAGAACCAACTGATCACTTAAAAATATCTCCCACTCTGAGATTGGACACAAATGTCAGACTTGGAAAAGTGACAACTGAAAGGACAACAACAACAACAACAATTTTGTTAGACAAGTTATGTGGTATGTGTTGTATCTACAAAATCTCAGAAATTTAAGCCATAGATAAACAAATCTGATTGGTTGGCATAAATAAACGAATCAAAACTGTCCATTTAGGTTATCATGTCATTACATGCAGAAATCATGACTTCATGGCTAACAAAGATTCTTGTTCGTCCCAACAGGTTCTGTCTAAAATTGGGGCTGTTTACGTACATTACTAAAACTAGTGTATAGGTTTCTTTGGATAACTTTTCGATTCCTCGTGTTCTGAGTGGAAACTTCGGAGTTTCAGTCGCCATGGTGTTATTCTTACGAGGTGGGGTCGTTAGTTTCACACCCAGCCTTCCCTCTTTTCCAGCTAGGCGAAATTTGGGAGTGCGTTGGGCAGGAATCGAACTCGGCCCTCCTGTGTAGTTCGCGCGCATTCTGCCGTTGATCTACCGACTCAGAGTTTTCTTTAGGTTGTGACATTTCTTTAAGTGAAACTAATTTGTAATAAATGTGCTATGTAAAGTTCTACTCTACTATTTACCACTCACCACTGTCATATGTATTTCTGCAGATATAATGTAAAAGCTTATTTACTGGGAAGTGACAAGCAGTAAGCAAACATCTAGCATTCCTGAATAAAACTGTCAAGATTTTATTTTTCTAAATTATTGTTTTCACCTATAGTTAAGCATTGATTATTCGATCGATGAAATTTGTTTCAACCTTCTCTGCCACCATAGAGCACCACTAATTATCCCACTGTTGAAAGTTTCTCACCTGTTGTTCTGTGTAACTTTTGAGAACTGGGAATATTTTTAAAATTAAGCATCTTACTAAACAACAACATTGTTGTCAGTTTGAAGAGTTTATATGCATATACTGCGGAGATGTGGCTTATTGGCCTAACAAGAAAGCGGTTTTCAGTCGATGGGTCATAGGTTCGAGTCCTGCCCCGCCTACTTCAGCATGGCCAACTGGCTAGTATCATGAGGCCCCACACGATAATAAGTATGGCTCTTAGCCCGGCACATTAGAAATATGTTCGGCTTAATTGTGCTTAAATGCAACATACAATAACTACGTTCACAGCTGTTAGTTATCCTGGTGACGATTTTTTCTTAACAGTATCAAGGAGTGGTAGGTGTCAAAATCCAGGATGTACATTTAGTCACGTCGACACTTATTGTATGCTTGTAGTAATATTTCAGTTTCCTGTCTTTTTGAAAGTTGATCTTTGTACCTCAGCAAGGTTGATCACAGATTGATATCAGTTAGATAACCATTGAAAACCAGAGTGTACTAGACTACTGCTTCGTCCTAGTTTGTTGCTCTTCAGCAATACGTACCTACTAGGGTTCGTATCCAGGACCTTCCGGTTACGAAGCAAGCCCTTAGACTATTTAGCCATTGGGACTTGACTCAATGACCCATAAATTGTAACTTCTGCTGATTTGTGATTTTATTGCGACTGACCACCAGCAAATGTTATCGGCGAGTATATATTGATTTTCGTGAATAAACTTGCATCGTCAGCTTCGTACACTTTACAAACATAGATACACAGTTATCAATAATTTTATGCGTGTTTAAGAATATATTTCTTCTAACATTCGATTTTTTTCTGCTGTAGATTTCTTACGATTCGCTGTTGCAACTTATCGTGTTACAGTGGCTGATGTTTGTCACAGAGCATCTACTTGTTTATCTCAGTTTGTGTTAAGCGGTAAGTCATCAAAAGAAAAGAAGCATTATCGTCATTTGTTATGATTCTATGTCTAATGTTGTGAATTGATTCTCAGAGTTTATACAGTCTTATTACTGTCCCTTTGAAACAACTGACTGTATTTTCGATTCATTTCTGTGCAAAATTTCGTTCATCCCTTATATTAGTGAATGTAGGCAATTAAGCGGACTAATACTGAAACTGAGGTGTGAGTGTTTATAATTACGGTGTTTTTATCGAGATTAGATATAACTAATTAATCATCAAGCTGTACAATCGTATATATATATATTGTTTTTAAGAAGTTATATCCGGTGAGGGAATTGAATCATAGGTGTCCAAGAGGGTGCAAGAACACTATCCTGCATGGTTACGAAAAGGTGGAAGTGGAGCAATAAGAAGTGCGATCATTGAACATCTGGTCGATAATGATCACCCTATCTCTATAGCCTCCGCCTTCAAAGTCATCTACAAGGCAAAGAGTAATTTACCCAAATCCCTACGTACCCGACTCATCTGTATTGCTGAAGCTTTGGCTATCGAAACAGAAAAGCCAGATCTTTGTGTACAGAAAAAGTTCGTTCAACCCCTCCAACTTTCATGGTCTTAACCCCTCTATGCTAAAGTATGGTAATCCCCAATCATATTTTAGCTCTACCAATTTTTCATTTTTGTCTATTCAATTTGTATACTCTTCCTCATTAAGTCAATCGCTACTATTACTACTCTCACTTTTAATTGTCCCCGGTATTATTTCACTTGTTCCACTTATCATTCTAAATCAATTCCTTTATGCAACATTAAATTCTATGCTATTAAATTTCACACAATATTACGTAACGTTTTTATTTTATTCGATTTGTCTACTAATCTTATAATTGCTCACCTTTTTCAAGTTCTATCCATCCTATGAATTATTCTATACATGACATTAATTTGCTTTGCCACTTGACACTTAACTACGATTATAATCACAAAAATTTTAGTTTTAATTGCATTTCATATTATTATTATTTTATGCATTCACACCTATGTTTCAATTCCCTCACCGGATATAACTTCTTAAAAACCATATATATATATACGATTGTACAGCTTGATGATAAATTCGTTGAAAAGAGTCTCTTCTCTGAATCATTTGTTTTCATTTTCTATATGTTACAATGGGAATTTTCCATGATAACTAATTAAGACAGAAATCAACTTTATGAGATATATATAAGAGTTTATAAAGTTTGAATGATTGTAATTCACCAATTTCTACATTCTGTTAAGCGTCGATACATGTTTAGCGTCTGTGGGAGCAGTCAGTCACTTTTGTTTGGAAGTAGGTGTGTGTGTGGTGAGAGCTGTCTGCTAGCCAAAATTGGTAGGCAGTAATTTACTTCAATGTTTACGTCCCATATCTTAACCATGAGAAAAACAAGAACAAAGACTTTGCATGGGCGGATACGATTCGCAGGTAGAGAGGGTCTGACCATCAAAGAAACGGCCACAAAGAGATGACAGATTAACTTTCAGAGAGAAAACAACCAATCAGAAGATGATGTTTCTCTGCTAATTATAACGAATAGTAATGTACATCAAAATCTATAAATATCTGTTGATTTTCTCAATAAACGATCTGTTGCCTGGCGCTACTACCTGGAGATAGACTTTTCGACCTCGAGTATGCGGACGATATCGTCTTACTGTGCGATAGCATGCAGGCTGCCCAAATCGCAATTAATCAATTGGCGATCAGTGTCTGTAAGTATGGTATGTGCTTTGCACCGTCTAAGTGCAAAGTATTGTTACAAGATTGGCAGGAGCCTGTACCTGCACTCACTCTTGCGGGTGAACCGCTTGAAGTTGTTGATAAGTTTGTGTATCTGCGTAGTTGTGTGAGTGCTGGCGGAGGGGTAACGGATGAGATTTCCAACCGTATAATGAAGGCTATGGTGGCATACATCAACTTGAGCCACCTCTGGTGCCGTCGCGACGTTAACCTGGCTGTCAAAGGTCGGGTATACAACGCTTCGGTGTGGGCTGTCTTGCTCTACGCCTGTGAAACCTGGCCTCTCCGAGCTGAGGATGTGAGGCGACTCTGCGTGTTCGATCATCGCTGTCTCCGCAGGATTGCTTGCGTTCGATGGCATCATCGCGTGAGTAATTCTGAGGTTCAGCGGCGTGTGTTTGAACACAGTGGAGATCACCATTCATTGAGTGTCATCATCTGGAAACACCGGCTCCGGTGGCTTGGACATGTGCTGCGAATGTCATCCCAGAGGCTTCCGTACAGGTCTCTGTTCGCTAGCCCTGGGACGGGATGGAAAAGGCGGAGGGGTGGTCAGTCCATGACGTGGCGTCGTGGGATGAAGGATATTTGTACTAGATTAGCATCGGTTGGTGCGTCACGACTCCTTGTTTGGGGTCCACAAGATAGCTCGAATCGATGACTCGAAACGTTATCGGATATGGCCAAGAATCGCAATCAGTGGCGAACGTGTTGCAATTTCCTTCTTTCTTCCCTTCCTGATGATAGTTAACGAATACTGTTTGAACTTGTTAAACATGACTGTTTTCCTTCTTGATGAAGTTCTTTATCCGTTTTCTACTTATATTTTTACTTTTAATCTATGTTGTTTTATTATTATTGTGTGGCGCATCTTTCTTGGTGCCATATTGTACCAAGTTTTTTTTCTGCGTTTAAATAAATAAATAAATAAATAAATAAATAAATAAATAATGCCTGGCACTTGTCTTCTGTCGTTAGAGGTGTAATCCACTCTCTGGTTGAATTGCTTTTTTTATCTCAGTGTTTATTTTATATGAATTTACATCATCCTTAATAGACTGAAAGGTGCTCTGGATGAAAAACTCTACCGGAAACAAGTTGGATTCAGGAAAAGCAAATAATGTGCGAATCAAATTACAACGCTATGCATCATTATCGAACAGAGAGAGCATGGAATGACAATCAAATCTCTACTTGATCGATTTTGAAAAGTCCAACTGATTGAAAACAGGAAAGGTTTCCTATTGTCACCGATGATATTTCTGATTATGGGTAAAGCGAATCGTGCAGCGGACTTTGGGGAACACGAAGACTGGCATATACGCGTTGGATGGATCAAAAGACATTGGAAAAAATCTGCAGTTGGGGATGATTTATGCCTAATGTCACATACAAACTCGAAAATCTACAGGCGAAAACCAACCAAAAAGCTGACGCAAGAGGCAGCAAAGACTGAACTTCAAGTGATCATAGAGAAGACAGAGGTGATAAAGTTACCTAGACAGCAGCAAAACCACCAACAACAAGCATCAGTCACCATCAATAGGATATTACCTCTTTCACATATATCTAGGCAGGATCGTTTCAACTACACTACAGGTAACACAGATGAAGATGTCAAAGGCAGGATTGGTATGGCAAGACAGACTTTCGTTAATCTTAAATCATTGGGGAAATCTACTACTTTCTCAACCTAAGGAACATGAATCGAACCTTTAACACTAATGTCAAGTCACTGGTCGTATGTAGTTCAGAGACTTGGTACTTCTTTCAAAAGTTCACTGAGAACTTTCGTCAGCAACCGATTTCGATGCCTCCGTCTTGACCAATCGGAGGATCAAAAAGGTTAACGAATACGGAACTCTGGCAAAAAACTAACCATGAAGCTATCGGCCAACAATTATGAAGAAGGAAGTGGAGATGGATTACACACACACACTGTGGAGACCGTTGAGTGACATCTCGCATCAGGTCTGTGAATGGAACCCGAACAGGATACGACGAGTCGGGTGTGTCCGTGTTTGACAAGAAGTAGGTCGTGTGAAGAGGAAATGAAAGGTTATAGTCAATCGTGGAGCCAGATAAAAAAAGGCAGCGTGCAGTAGAGGGGAATGATGATGTGCTGCTGAAGCCTTATGTTTCGCTTGGAACCCAAAGGAACAATAATAGGGTGAATAGTCTATTATGTCAGTAGTCATAGCGTTAGATATTTACACACCTACCTTATAATGCTAGTGTGCAGAGAAAATGGATTAATTTTATGTATTACACGTCAACATTTAGTGATTATAAGGATGAGGTGAACGGGTTGGTCGTGTTTAGTTCTTTTTCACCAGCTTGTAGGAGCATAAAAGCTATTTATTATGCATAATATATTTGTGCGTTAAAGTTTCTGTAGCAATTTGGTTAAGTTTTGGGGTGGAGTTGCTAGCACCACGCCCCAACCCTCCCTCTTTATCCGGGCTTGGGACCGGCTAGAAAACTAGTGAGCCAGTAATCTAGGCGAGGTTAAAGAGTGCGTTGGCCGGGGATCGAACCCCGGACCATGTGCATAGTCGGCGAGCGGCCTAACCGCTGTGCCACCGACGCACTCCAAGGGTGACATGGGGAAGATCGTGTGAAGAGGAGTTGAAACAGTATGGACTAACATGGATGCAGGTGAAAAGTAGAGCAGAAGACAGAAACAAATGGAGACGTGCAGCTGAAGCCCTATGTTTATTTTTTATTTTCTTTTTTTTATTTTCGATAACAGCTTGATACCACACCGTATTTTCAGTACAAGTATGACATTTTCAGCATGGATATCGGCAACCCAAATTTTGAAGGCCGACCATAGATATCGGGGTGTGCGTCGGCAGGGGATCGAGCCCCGCTCCATGTGCATGGTCGGTGAGAGTCCTAACCACTGTGCCACCGACGCACCACTAGGAACCCAAGGGAACAATAATAATAAAGAATAATTATGCATAATCATTTATTTATCTAATAACACGACTAATTGGTTTCTGGTTATTTGTTAAATCTTATATTTTAGGTCGGTCTGTTGCCTTGGCTCATCGCATAGATTGTCCTTCTCGAGTTCTACCGAAGCATATTAATATCCTGTCGTCGTGTTCAACAGATGAAGCTCTTCTACTCACTTGTCATGGATCTGTGATGTATATACATGTTTTAGCTACAATATTTCCAATATGTCATCCTCAGAATATTCCTTTGAAGCCTGATCTAAACTTACAATCAATGGATTATCGTACACAAGCCTTTATTGATCATATTTTAAGCCCGTCTCGTTTAGCTCCAGCCTCGGCTAGATTGAATTATTCTGTACTTCCAAAAGAAAGAGGTATGCTCTAGCTTCTTCTTCTGCTTTTTGTGTAAACATTTTTTTCTTTGATTTAGTTGGCGGAATGAAGAAGTAAAAGTGATCTGTTTGTCTTTGAGTGGAATTCACTCCGTACATGACAATTGAAATTTTTTATTTTAGTGAAGTTGAAATTAACTGTCATCAGTATGATATTGTAAATATATCTTCTGGATAATGGGAAATTCAGCAATTGGTAGTGGCTGACCATGAAATCTAGGATCTTCATTATTTGTTGGTGACGTTTCAAGTACAGTATATTGCTCATATCATATTAGTATGCCGTGTTGTAGAAATTCCACTACTGAATACAGTAGTATAACCCCTATATTACTATTATTATTACTCCGTTCGGTTCCGAGTGGAATTTTGGGCTTCAGGAGCACGTCTGCATCTTGTCCTTCCTTCTGTAGTTCTCTCCAGATGACCCCACGATTGCCTATAAGCTTTCATCTCCTTTTCACACGATCTCCTCCATGTCACCCTTGGACACCCAACTTGTCGCTCCCCACCCAGTTTCCACTTGAGGGCCTGTACACCATATCGTCCAACAGTCTGCTCAGTGTCTGTTCATTACATCTCCATTTTCTTCTGCATGGTTTGTTCGTTCCAAGAGTTTCTTGTTGCCAGTTCTTTCTGGTCATCTGGTCTTCAATATGTTGCGAAGGTAGCTGTTGATAAAAGTCTCTCTCAAGTAGCTTGTTCAAAACGCTTTTCGTGACGCATAAGGAAGAACTGACTGACTTAATATTGGTGTTGAAAATCCGGATTTGGTTCTTTATGCCGCGGAGTGCAGAAGCTTTCCAAACTGATTTCAGAGTGTTGAAGGTACACCACACCTTGCCTTTCCGATTCTGGCTGGTTTTGACATCTTGATCCGTCCCGCCCATAGTTGAAACGATGCTTCCTAGATAAGTGAAGGAAGTGACCTGTTTCAAATTTCTTCCCCTGATAGTGATTGGTGCTTGTTGTTTGCTAGTTATCTTCTTCACCACTAATTTTCGGTTATATCTCATATAAATTGGTTATTATGGATTTTTTAAACTAAACTTTTATGTAATCCTATTCAGCTCGTCAACATATTGAACGTCAAACAAGATACTGGCCACTTATGGAATCACAAACCTTGTTGGGAAAGAATAAGGTCAGTGAATATTTTGTGTGAATGTGTACCTAATTGCAGTTTACTGTTAATATCATTAATTACATTGATTAACGTTAATTGGCCCCATAAAATCACATATCTCACTGAATACAGTCTTGATTCAAAAAACGTCTCATTTGGCTGTGATAATGTGTTACATTTTTATAAGTCTATTGATTTGCATGCATTTAGATGTTCGCATTCTGAAATAATGGAAGAGCCTTGTAGTTCAGGTGGGGATGTTTTTAGTAATCCTTTGACAAACTCGTACAGCTCTTGTAAGATAAGCTGCACACAACCTGAATACTAGTATACATAAGAGATCACTGTAAGTATAATTTTGACGAACTGTAACTGGATAGGTTACAGGATTTCATCATGAGCTGATATTGGTTAGAGAACCATTGGAAAACCTGGGAGTGCTGGACTCTTGTTTCGTCAGCCTAGTTTGGGACTCTTCATCAGTACGCACCCACCGCGGGTCGAACCCAGGACCTTCTGGTTACAAGGCGAGCTAGCTCGTAGACAATTAAGTCACTGGGACCCGATCCATTGGCTCATGAATTCTAACTTCTGCCAAGTCACGATATAGCGCAACCGCTAGTCAATGTCTTCGGCGAGTATTTGTCCTCACATCCGACCTGCTGCACCCTACTGGCCTGTTCATTGTATAGGAGTTGAGCGGAGAAAGAACAAACATTGATAAAGAACAACATGGATCCATTTTATTTCGTCGGTTCTCATCAGCTGCTTACATTATGTAGTCCTTAATAAATAAAAGTCAGCGTAAAGTTTAACATACTTTTGTTATCAACAAGCATATTATAAGACTGTCATGGTGAGATGACACATCAGGATGACGAGGTAGCTAAAGTGTTTGTATATATATATATATATGTTGTTAGAGAGAAGTTTCTCGAAAATTAATTGACGAATTTGTTAGGGTGGTCACAAAATTTCATTATGGATAAGATTTTATTTTGATAAATCCCACAGTGGTTACCAACTCACATCCTCTCAGGGAATTGAACCCGCGTCACCCATTGCTGTAGTCAGAAACATTACCACTGAGCTTTCCGGGGTTCATGATTGACCTCCCGTAGGACTGTAATAGAGAAATGCGCATAACACTGGTTACTTTCTAGTGCTTCTTTTTTCCGATTCATAAACATTTTTTACTCGAGTAAATTAATGGAGTGTATAATAATTATTTGATTTATTACTATTATTAAATACTATTGTAGTTAGCAGGTCCGATATTTGAACACCTACCGAAAGAATATCTTGAACCGAATGAAGTATCTGCTTGTGAAGAAGCTGTAGTGAATATTTTAAATTCAATTAAACAGTATGTCTGCTTGTCGGATTCCAAGAAAACCGCTTCAAAACGGTAGGTTTAATTGGTTTTCTATTATTGTTTTTTCTCATTCGTCTATTAGTTTTTTCCATCGTAAATTTTGTTCTTTGTTGATATTAGTTGGTTGAAGGCAATCAGCAGAAAGCCGTAGACCACCGAGGTTTCGTGTTTGTAGGCATTCGTCAGTAAGGCCTCCTGCTGATTGTCTGCAACCATTTAATGTCAACAATTCACAGTGCACTGTGACGGTGAGCCGCCTAGCATGCCGGTCAGATTGCAAAATTGACTGATAGAATTCAGTCTGCACCGCAGAAAAAAAACTTGGTACATTATGGCACCAAGAAACATGCACCACACAATAATAATAAAACAACATAGATTAAAAGTAAAAATATAGGTAGAGAACGGATAAAGAACTTCATCAAGAAGGAAAACAGTCATGTTTAACAAGTTCAAACAGTATTCGTTAACTATCATCAGGAAGGGAAGAAAGAAGGAAATTGCAACACGTTCACCATTGATTACGATTCTTGGCCATATCCGATAACGTTTCGAGCTATCTCGCGGACCCCAACCAGGGAGTCGTGACGCATCAACCGCTGCTAATCTAGCACAAAAATCCCTCACCCCACGACGCCACGTCATGGACTGACCACCCCTCCGCCTTTTCCATCCCGTCCCAGGGCTAGCGAACAGAGACCTGTACGGAAGCCTCTGGGATGACATTCGCAGCACATGTCCAAGCCACCGGAGCCGGTATTTCCAGATGATGACACTCAATGAATGGTGATCTCCACTGTGTTCAAACACACGCCGCCGAACCTCAGAATTACTCACGCGATGATGCCATCGAACGCAAGCAATCCTGCGGAGACAGCGATGATCGAACACGCAGAGTCGCCTCACATCCTCAGCTCGGGAAGGCCAGGTTTCACAGGCGTAGAGCAAGACAACCCGGACCGAAGCATTGTATGCCCTACCTTTGACAGCCAGGCTAACGTCGCGACGGCGCCAGAGGTGGTTCAAGTTGAGTTATGCCACCATGGCCTTCATTATACGGTTGGAAATCTCATCCGTCAGCACTCACACAACTACCCAGACACACAAACTTATCAACAACTTCAAGCGGTTCACCCGCAAGAGTGAGTGCAGGTACAGGCTCCTGCCAATCTTGTAACAATACTTTGCACTTAGACGGTGCAAAGCACATACTATACTTACAGACACTGCATCAAACAAAGGACTAGATGCATTACACTAGTTTACTTACTAGTGTCCAATCAAAATTTTATTTATTCATTGCCAGTGTTGTAGTGTGAACTGACTTTAAGTATAATAAAACGATATATGTGTCTTGATTAGTAGACTCTATGCTTACTTATTTTACGGAGCTTTAATTAAGAAAAGTTTAGAGTAGAGAATTGGAGGTATTCCTATGAATAATAAAAATCACTATAGTGTATACTGACTGACGACACCGAACTAAGCGACTGGGTTTTTAGTGTAATGTGTGTATATGAAGGTTGAAAGTGTATGACTTAAATCTCTGAGTATATGTGTCAAGTCATTGCTTCTGTATGCGTTACGAAATCATTTCCAACAGCATGCCTTGGTTCCATACTCAAGAGCAAATGGCCCAACAAATATGAAGAAGGAAATGGAGATGAGTAGGACAAACGCTGTGGAGACCGTTGAGTGGAAACTGAACGGGATACGACTAGTCGCACTTCCAATGCTGACGTGGAGGAAATTGTCTGAGGAGATGAAGGCTTAAAGGCAATCGTGAAGCCAGCTAAAAATGACTCCCAGCAGAAAACAGGATGAAATGGAGATGTGCTGTTGAAGCCTCATGTTCCACTCGGAATAATAACAATTCTGATAATAATGTTCTTCGTATGATGTGCTATTCGAGGATCAGGTTTGATCTTGAGTTGACCTCAGTTAGTGAATCACTGGGAAGCCTGAGAGTATTGGACATCTGTTTCTACCTATTTTGGGACTCTTCAATAGTGCGCACCCAGTGCTGTTCGAACCTAGGACCTCTCCGGGTACAGGGCGAGCTGGTAGATCATTCAGCCGCTGGGACACGATCCGATTGCCCGTGAATTCCACTTTCTTCCGATTCGCCGTATATATGACGCCATGGGGGTCCACCAAATCTGACTGGTTCCATATATATTGCGAATTGGCAGAAGTTGGAATACAAAGGCGATTGGATCGGGTCTCAATGGCTGAATGGTCTATGGACTGGCCTTGTAACCGGAAGGTCCTGGGTTCGAAACACAAGTGAGTGCGTGCGTGCCTTTGAAGAATCCCAAACTAGGACGTAACAGTTGTCCAGTACTCCCAGGCTTCCCAGTGGTTCACTGACTGAGGTCAACTCATAATCAAAGCTGTAAGCAATCAAATCCCTGCAAACCAACACTTGGTCATTCGAGTATCAAAAAATGTATTTTATGAAGCGGGATGTGAGTATAAAGCCTTATAGCGCGTTATCTTTGTCCATAGAATAAGGCACATCCATCTTGTTCTTCAACTATTCATCAATATAAATGAATATTAAGTCACAAAACTACTTAAAAGTAGTATTTTTATTTGGTGGAAATTTATAATGTTTTCTGTACTTGTACAACTACCTCATATGATTTCTAATTATTTTCTGTGATCTGTTTTGGTGATTATTAGTTTTGCCATGAATATGATCAGGTAACTGTTTATCATATCAAGTGATCTAATAAGGTTAATGTTCAAACTCAGTTCTTAGAAGTCTTTCGTGTTCCAGGTTATGAGCCACACTCATAGTGTGACGACTGGTGGTGATTCTACCCAGTTGCTGCTATCCAGACTGAATTAGGTGGAGCATGATTCGCCTGCGCAGTCCATCGTTTGAAACTAGAGTACTTGGGACGATAAGTCATTTGTTTGAGTGGTCTAATCAGATCATGGGCATTACTGTTCACATCTACGAGACATAATAGACAACAGAGTAGAACTATTGTGATGAAAAGCTAAAGGTCATCCTACTTTAAATAGTTAAAGCAATTGAGTTGTAATTCAATGTATCTTTGAAGGTTGCAAGTGTATGGCTTAAATCCCGAATACGCTGGAGACTAACTGTTAAATGTTAGGTGTGAAAAGGCTCGAAATGCTTCTACTTTCGCTACCTTTTTAATTCATCACTCGTACTTCAAAGTACTTGAAAGTCTTTCTAACAACAGTACAAGCTTTATGCTGAAAAATGCGTTTATACGCAGTACAGAATTTTCAGAGAGGTTTCTTTGCATGGTATATACCCGTGTGCAGAATCTTTAAATAATATAATAATCGATACGCATATCATCTAAAGCGATATTATTCCACCCGACGCTACTCCTGTACTATTTCACAATGTTCTTCCGCTATTTCCTTCGAAAAATCCCTAGCGTTAGTTAGAGACTTATTTTCAGGTTTGACCACGGATTGATATCAGTTGGAGTACCATTGAAAAACAAGGGGAATCGGGCTGCTGTTTCTTACTAGTTTGGGACTCATTGGCGGCACTTACCCACAGGGTACGTAGACTATTCAGCCACTGGAACCCAACCCACTGGTCGGTGGATTCTAACTTCTACCGCCGATGACGCTGGCTGGTGGGGGCGCTAAAATCGAGTCCTGACAAACCAACCCTTGAAAAGAAACTTATCTGAAATAGCGCGCGAATATGAATTGTTACTCAGTGTGGTGATTAGATCATTAAAACAATATGAAACTGAGTAAACATGATTCATTTTGATGGATGGAAAATGTAGGTAGTGCAGTGATTTAAGCAGGCCGCCGTAGAATTTCATTTCCCCTTCTGTTGCAATAAAGTGAATCAATTCACTCTGTATAGTACACAAATTCTGATTCGGAACCGAATAGAAACTAAGATTCTTTCTAGTTTTTCAGTGACTATTTTCGTAGATTTCATGATCTTTTTTGGCTAATTTGTGTATGACATTTAAAATTTTTCCTCTTCTTTCTAAATGTTTCCCATCCTTAGAGGTCCTTCTGGAACTTTGCCTGTAGCACCGACACTACAAGCTGAAGCAATCGCACTAGCTACTGAATTCGATTATATTCTCTCCTTGTACAGTGATCTATCAGCTGAACATGAACAAATACGGAATTTTTGGATACAATCTATAAGTTCAACAAAAAGTGATGCATCTAGTAGTAGTGGATTAAATCGTCCCAGTGGAAATGATTTCACCACATTGAATCTTACAGAAATGATACGTTTAGCAAGAACTGTTGTCTGTGATCAAATCGATGCGAGTGAATCAAGTATTATTCCACCTGCACTTATTAAAACTATGAAAAGTTTAACAGTTCTATGTGAACGTCTCCGTGTATGTACAGATTCGAAAGGAGTTAGTCAAATTCACCATAGGTAAGTGTGTTTTCCTTTAACATTTCTAAAAATAAGGTGGGCGTTGGGGGGGACATGGAAGATAGGGTTTCGGCGACAAGTCTCACACCGTTGTACACCGTTCTCTGCCGTCACTTATTCTGCTGACTTCACAACAGCCCACAAGCTTTCATTTTTTTTGACATGGTCTTCTCTGTATCATCTTTGGGCACACCCGATCTTTCGCTTCCCGATTTCAGTTTAATGTTATCAATACTCAACAGTAGGGCTTGTTTATAACTTTGAAGAAACTAATACTCTGTTACAAATAAAGATGAATAGCACTCACAGCTGTGATTACAATCTTCTTACTTGATCACAATAGGTTTTAGAGATACTTTTAAAGCTAACCGACTGTACTTAGTTAACATTCGGCGGCTACAGATTTGATCTGGTTCTCCAAGAGATCATTCGTAAATGGAATGATTTAACGAAAATTTGGCTGATCTGAAAACTGAGTGGTACTGATTCTCCCAAGGCACGAAATGGACCTCCCGACCTAGGTGATGACCGAATTCTAAACATTCATCAAATTAAAATTTTTCAGCAAATATTAAATCAAGAGCTTACGATTACTGACGGCCATTGATTTTTATAATTTGGTGACTTATAATAACAACTATTGTTGTTCCTTCGGGTTCCGAGTGCAACATAGGGCTTCGACAGCACATCTCCATTTTGTCGTATTCTCTGGGATCTTCCTAACCTGGCCCTACGTTTGCCTGTAGTCTCACGCAGACGACGTAGTCCTGTTAGGGGAGGATGCTGACAAAATGCAGAGTCTTCTGAACACCTTGAGCAGCAATCTCCGTATATTTGGCATGCGATTCGCCCCGGTGAAATGTGAGATCCTGCTACAGGACTGGACTACGTCAACTCCTAGCTTAGTGATAGGCAGTGAAGTGATACAACATGTTGACCACTTCACCTATTTGGGAAGTTGTATCAGCACCAACGGACTGATTGGCGACGAAATCTCAGCTCGAACTGCCTTCGCTGACTTCCGCCATCTCTGGCGTAGGCGTGACATCCGACTATCAACCAAGGGACGTGTGTACTGCTCAGCAGTTCACTCCGTCCTTCTCTATGGCTCTGAAACATGGCCAATACGAGTTGAAGACATGGAAAGGTTGACTGTTTTTGATCATAGATGTCTCCGATATTCTTCTCACGTTAGGTGGTATAATAAAGTAAGTAATGTTGACGTTAGGCGTAGAGTGTTGGGCAAAGAGGGAAAATCAATCGACGAGGCTATAAATTTGCATAGATTGAGATGGCTAGGTCACGTGGTGCGCATGCCTAACCATCGCCTCCCCTGACGGGCATTGCTAGCTGATATAGGTGCAGGTTGGAAAAGAGTAAGCGGTGGCCAAACAAAAACATGGCATCAATCCATGAAATCCTTGACAGTTGAACTGAGTCAGGTAGGGAGATGCAGACTTCCGGGTTGGGGCCCTCGGGACTCTAAGAATCAATGGCTGGAGACAATAGGTGACATGGCTCAAAATCGTTGTCAATGGCTTACGCAGATGTATTCAGTCTCTGTAATCTTTCATATTCCTTTCTACCATTACTCATTCTGTTTCACTCTTATACTTGTCAAAACTCTATTGATTCTCTTCACTCATCTTCTTGTCTACCTTTGTGTGCTATTTGGAAGGTGGCAACTGGAACTGCTGCACTTCGGTGCCAAGTTCTATGTTGAATCCAGCCAGCTGTAGTCTCACCTCCTCCTCGCACTATCTTTTCTTCGGACGCCCAACTCGCTGTTTTCCATCCGGGTTCCATTCGAGCGATGGCCTGGCGCACGGTGTCCTCAGCGTGACCCCAGACCATGCGCTTGGTTGGCGAGCATCCCACCGTTGTGCCACCGAAGCACCGTAATAGCTTTTAAGTGATCTTTAAATGAATGTATTGAAACGGAACCTACGAAGAAGTGAACAATTGTTAAATTTGGGTGTTTGCCTTTTGGGAGTTATTGCAGTCCATTATTTGAATCAAATAAACCAATATGCACTAGAAAACTGTGTAGAGTGAAGGAGTTACGAGATGGCTCTAGGGTTATGATGAAGTTCACCTTATTAATTATTCTACGTTATTTTCGATGTACAGTTATTTTTACTGAAATTCTTTTCGTTCTAATCTAGATACTCCAGTGACCAGGCACCTAAAGTAAAGGTCATGATTGAACCCGGTAAGTTACTATCAGGAGAGGTTCTTTTTTTGTGTGTGTTTACGTATTATTTTGATCATCTGTGTATGTATGTGTGGTATATGCTTTGCGTCGTCTAAGTACAAAGTACTGTTGCAAGATTTGTAAGAGCTTAAAAACTGTACCTGCAGTCACTCTTGCAGGTGGTGAAACGCTTGAAGTTTTCGTGTTTCTAGCTAGTTGTTCGAGGGTTGGCGGAGGTGTGACGGACGAGATCTCTAACTGTATGTTGAAAGCTAGGTCGACATACGCCAATTTGGACCACATCTAGCGCTGTTAGCCTGGCTGTCAAAGGTTGGGTTTACAATGCTTCGGTGCACGCAGTCTTGCTCCACATCTGTGAAACTTCGCCTCTCCGAGTTGAGGATTTGCGGCAACTCTGCATATTCGATCATCGCTGTCTCTATGGAATTGTCTGCGTTCCATCGCATCATCGTATGAGTAGTTCTGAGGTCGGGGGTAGCGTGTGCTTGGGCACAGTAGAGATCACCATTCATTGATTGTCGTAATCTGGAGGAACACCGGCTTCGATGGCTTGGACATGCGCTACGAATGTTATTCCAGAGGCTTCAACATTCTTTCACGCGACTATTTAAAATAAATAACCTGCATATATTGGGTGATATGCAGGTGATTCACAATGGAAAAATCAGCGAGACGTTCGAAGTGAATACAGGAGTAAGACAAGGCTGCCTGCCTATTATCACCGATGATATTCTTGATTGTGCTGGGCTAGATTATGCGTCAGACTGTGTATTGGGAGTGAGAAAGCAGGAATGCGTTGGACCGATGAGAAGACTCTAGGAAATCTCGATTTCGTGAATGATTTTTGTCTGATGTCTCACAAACTCGAGGACTTACAGGCAGGCTGAAACCAAGAGACTGTCAGGAGAGACAGGCAGCGAAGACAGAATTTTAGGTGAACATAGAGAAGACGGACGTGATGAAGATACCCACATGCAACAACAACAACAACCAGCACCAATCACCATCAATGGGAGAGATTTGACAGATGTCACTTCCTTCACTTATGTAGGAAGCACAGTTTCAACCATAGGCTAGAGGAATGGATGGAGATGAGAAAGTGAGTCGTTCAGTTCTACTATACGGGTCAGAAACTTGCACTGCGTGTCACAAAGAGGATTTCCAACAGGTTACAGACTTTTATCAACAGCTGCCACCTTCGCTGGCTGTATACTGAAGGTGAAATTAGCAACAAGAAACTCTGGGAATGAACCAAACAAGAGCCGATTACTCAACAAATATGTAGGAGAAAATAGAGTTGGATCGGGCACACACTGAGGAAACCGTCGAGTGACATTGTGCGGAATGCAGGCCATCGTTCGTGTGGAATCCCAATGGGAAGCGACGATTGGGTCGTCAGTGCGAGGGTGACATGGAGGAGATCGTGTGGTGAGGAGGAGATGAGGGATTATGGGCAGTCGTGGAGCTAGCCAGCTGAAGAGGACGGCAGAAAGTAGAACAAAGCGAGTATGTGTTGTTGAAGCCATATGTTCCACTCGGAACCCAAGGGAATAATGATAATAAAAATAACAATCAACACTACGAAGTGCCCAATATCTTTAAACCTCATTGAACAGCTGTATGATGACGATGCTACATGTCAAGGCATTCACAACGAAAAGCTCAACAATGACTTTGCCGTAAAGACAGGAGTAAGAAAAGACTGTCTACTATCACCAATGATATTCCTGATTGTGGATGACTGGGTCATGCGGCAGATTGTGAAAGGCGAGAGGGCAGGAACAAAACAGGGCACTACAAGAACACTAGGAGATTTGGACTCCATAGAGGAGACAACGGTGATGATGATACCTAACCAACAATAGTAAATACAGACCACTAGCAACGGGAGAAACTTAATGAACAGTCCTCAGAAAATTACACCTATATAGTCTTTACCAAGAGAGTTCAATTTTAAACGAAAATCAGTGTATGCTTATAATGGTAAAGGAGTTACATAATAAAGACGATAAGTGAGTGGGATGAGGATTCACTAATACACTGAGTTCAACTCAAATCACAGAAACAAGAGACAAGCACAATTACACTATATCAAAGGTGGAGGGGGATGGGGTTAAAGCCATAGATTACATAATCAAATGAGAGAGAGAGGGTAATGACATCCAGTTACCAGGACGGGCAAGGAAAGACTAATAAATGCTTCTTTCTGAATACATAAATCGGGTTACAGGGGTCTGATAGTGACTGTTTCTGCAAGCTTGAGGAGAATTAGACTATCTTGTTCATTTTCATGATCCATATCAAGATGTCTGGCAGTAGCAATGCTGAAAGTGCTTGTTCCCTTGAGATGTTAACTTTTTTGTAAATTTTCTTTCTCATAATATCGATGCATTATATTAATTCTTTTCTTTTATTCTATTTACTCATTTCAGCTGATCGTTCAACATTCATCGATTGCTTAAAAGCTTCAAAACGTCCACGCACAAAGATGGAGAAATTAGACTTTGTTGGTGTACTAACTGCCGATTCAAAGGGTGTATGCCAGTTGTATAAAAATTTAAAGGATAAAGAGAAATCTGTTACTTAGTGCTGATTAGAGTCTTTTTTAAAATTTCTTTTTACTATACTGCTGGTGCGTCGGTGGCACAGCGGTAGAATGCTCGCCGACCACACATATGGTCCGGGGTTCGATCCCCCGGCCACAGACGCACTCCTTTACCTTGCTAAGCCAGTAATAAGACTGATAAAGAGGGAAGGTTGGGGGGAGCATAAGGATAAAAACCCCATCCCGTAAAAATAAACACCGCTGCTACTGAAACTTCAAGCCTCTAGCTTGAAGCTTTATGTTCCACTGGCAACGTAGAGGAATAAAAAAAAGAACTGCTGGGCACATTTAACATAATGTTAGATTATAATTTTATAAGAAGCATTTTAGTGATGGTGAAGTGTGTACAAGTAGGCTAAGTTTACACGACTTACCAATGTATTTTCACGTAAAATATCGGTGAAATAAACGATCTCCTAGAAGGATGGTAGTTTTGAAGAAATCACTCGGTCTATTGTCTACTTAATGGGATGCGTAAACAGACACATCCGAGCGGGAGTGTCTTGATTAGATTTAATCCCTTCGACAGTATGTAATTCTGTTGATCAAGAGTTGTCGTACTGCGTTGTTGTAAAGTAAGAGAGAGAGAGAGAGATTGGAAGTATACTGTGTTATCCAGTCACTATATCAACTCATATGACCTTGTAGCAGCTTATGAAGAGTTGTCATCTAAAATGACAACAACTATCACGTCCGTATCCACTTAATTTTATGATGATAGTGAGTCATTTGGACTTGAACGTCTCAAGAGTTGATTTGTCATCGAAAACAATATTTTTGAGTCAGAGTAAGCAAATAATTGAGTCCATTTAAGTGAGGTCGCTGGCAAAATGTAGTTTTATGAGCATTAAGAGCAGAAATCTGACTATTCTGTACTGGTGTTTGGTTAGCTTACTGATACGAAAGTCTTTACAGTCTGATTGGTATCGCAATATATCTTCACAGGATCAAAAATATCGTTTGGCTTTTGCTAACTTGCGTCATCGAATGTACAGGTGAAATAACCAACGACCCAAAAAGCATTTTGCTTTGTTCTACCCTCAATATTATGTGAAAGCAAAACATAAGAAAATATTACAGGTTATTAATTTAAGGTGCCTCTGTTTAATTTCTCGAATTAGATAGGGAGTACCAGTAAGTGAAGCGCGTCGGTGGCATAGCGGTTAGGACGCTCGCCAACCATGTACTTGATCGGGAGTTCGATCCCCGGCCGACGCACTCCTTTACCTCGCTAAGCCAGTAGTAAGACTGGTAAAGAAGGAAGGTTAGGGGGTATGAGGCTAGCAACCTCATCCTGTAAAAATAAACACTGCTACAGAATCTTCAAGCCTCTAGCTTGAAGCCCTATGTTCCACTGGGAACGTTAAGGAATAAAAAAAAGTAAGTGAAGCTGTATCGACTGAGGTGACTAAGTCAAATGTTAAGCATGCCGAACTTCTCAATGAGCAGTATCAGGCATAGGGCACGATAATGACTGGGGCAGAGTCAGTTATCATGGATCTGGAACACGGTATCAACCTAAGATATTATTGACTGCTGGTTGGTTTGACTATGTCCCGCAGGCTGTTAAGAATCAATATTTGAAGACTGTTTGCACACATACACACACCTCAAAATTATCAACAATGGCGGAGATGTACATATATTTTATCATCGAAATCCCAAACCTTTCTTAATAGGTTATTTCCCCCTCATGTTGAGAGGTGTCATCTGAAGTGGTGACAACTAAGGGTGTTCGTCATGGATGTCCGTCCCCATTTCTGTTTAGTTTCATCATAGATGCACTAATAGACTTAACCCTAACTGACTTCAGCAACTCAGGGATTGACTTGCTTCCAGGGAATAATCTCGTTGACTTAGAATATGCGGACGATACAGTCCTCCTAGATGAAGACGCTGACAAAATGCAAAGTCTTCTGAACACCTTGAGTTGCAATCTACGAATGTTTGGCATGCGATTCGCTCCCGTCGGATGTAAGATGATGCTATAGGACTGGACTACATTGACTCCTAGCTTAAAGATAGGGATTGAAGTGGTTAGTGGAGCGTGTTGGCCACTTCACTTATTTGGGAAGTTGCATCAGCCAATCCCAACGGGTTGATTACTGATACAGAAGACTCGTTTGGCATACGCCATCTCTGGCTTAGTAGACGTGATATCCGACTGACTATCGACCAAAGGGCGTGTGTACTGCTCACCAGTTCGCTCTGTCCTCCTTTATGACTGTGAGATACGGCAATTCAAAGTGGGAGAGATATGTAAAGGCTAGCTGTCTTTGATCATAGGTACCTGCGTCCTATCTCCTGTGTGAAGTGGTATAATAAGGTGAGCAATATTGAGGTTAGGCGTCGGTCGAGTGCTAGGTAAGGAGGGTAAATCAATCGATGAGGTTGTGAAGTTACATCGAATGAGATAGTTAGGATATGTGATGCGCATGCCTAGCCATCGCCTTCCTCGGCGCGCAGTGTTAGCTGGAAAAGAGCCAGTGGTGGTTAAACCAAAACGGCTTCATCGGTCAGTGAAATCTCCAAAAGTTAGTTTAAGCTAGTCAAGTAGGGAGGTTGGGGTCCTCGGGATGGTAGGGACCAATGAAGGCTGGAGACAATGGTTTTTTTTCGCCTCATATCTCTGTTTTCAATCTCTTTTTACCTTCTTCTCTTGCTTTGTGTGCTACAAGGAAGGAGTGTGGCAACTGGAACTGCTGCACATCTGTGCAAAGTTCTACGTTGAAACCAGTCAGTCAGTTAGTTTCCCCTCATGTCCGTCTTACATTGTACCACTACTTATTGGTTCTTTTCTTTGTTATTGTGCTACTTAGAAGTATGATATGCAGTTATCTACTTGTTGATTCGTATCAGCATCAAGCGTAATCGTTTGTAGTCAGTCTTAAAAACCGGCATCTTTGTCGTGTAATTGATATTTACGCTATACTTTGATATCCGCGTTCAGTTTCAGATCTATTAACTAGTCCAGTGTTACCAAATAACAACATAAGCTTTTTATTACAAATAAAATAATTAATAATAATAATGACTTTTGAAATCTAATTTTTACAAAAATGTTAAAAATGTCAAAAAAGAGTTTTATTATTATATTAAAAAAGAGAAAACACTGTTTACAAAAAAAATTCTGTTTAATCAAATTTAATCGTGGATACCGGTACAACGACTAGTGTTCGTCCACTATCCGCAATACTAATGACATATGATCCACCGCCAGGGATTGTTTGCTGTGTTTTTAGATTAATTGGTGTCAAGCGCATATGTTCATCACTGCTTTTTGTTGATTAGCGATCAAATATAACTCAGTTGGTTTATATGATTTAAAATCACCACCAGTAACACCAAGTGGAACTAATTCTTTTGTCCATTGACGTAGAAGTGCAGAAAGACGTGATGAATTTGAACTTCGCATATTTACAGAAGACGGTGGTAAAAGTTGAACGGATCGTTCATATTTAGCAGTCCATGGATTTACAACTCGTAGATAACTCTAGCATAACATCAGTGTATAGTGAAAAAAAACAGAAAAACAAATTATCGTTCATAATTGCTGTATCATTATTTATTACATCACTGCCTTTCTCGGAACTGAATAAAAATGAAGTTTACCCTTTCTCATTCCTTTGCGTTCCATGCGAAACACAAAGGCATTAAAGGTTTTGAAAGTTCAGTAGCCGTGGTGTTGTTTTTTTCTTTAACGAGGTGGGGTTGCTAGCCTCACTTCCAACCCTAGCTCTCTTCGCGGTTACTATCGGCTAGGTTAGGTATAGGCATCTGTCAGCTTGTGCCAACTTACGACATCTCTGCCTTGGTGAACGTGATATCCGGCTGTCTGTTAACCAAAGAGCGTGTGTATTGCTCAGCAGTTCTCTGTGTCCTCCTTTATGGCTGTGAGACATGGCCATTGGGGGTGAAAGATTCGGAAAGGCTACCTGTCTTTGATCATAGGTGTCTGCGTCCTCTCTCCTGCGTTAAGTGGTATAACAAGGTGAGCAATATTGTGGTCAGGCTTCGGTCGAGTACTAGGTAAGGAGGGGAAATCAATCGACGAGGTGAAGTGATACCGATTGAGATGGTTAGACATGTGTTACGCATGGATATGATAGAGCAGATTTGTAGCTCAGGTGGATGATTTTGATATGATTGTGTTCTCTGAGCTGGATAGTTAATTTGCGAAGCTTTCATCGCCGTACTAGGCGACATCTTCAGCGCACACTTCAATTTGAAGTGAGCTTACAGATTTCTCCACGAGTTTATTAATCATCTCTCCTGGTGTGTTTTCACACCTTCCAGCTCAGAGAACACAACCATATCAAAATGTGTTACGCATGACTAGCCATCCATCGCCTTCGTCGACGGTCAATGTTAGCTGACATAGGATGGATCGGGTTGGAAAAGAGAAAGCTAGTGGTGGTCAAACCAAAACGTGGCATCAGACAATGAAATCCACAACAGTTAGTTTCAGCCAGCCACGTTGGGAGGTGCAGACTTCTTGTTTGAGGTCCTCGGGATGGTAGGAACCAATGAAGGCTGGAGACAATTGGTGATATGGCTCAAAATCGTTCTCAGTGACGGCGCAGATGCATTCACTCTTTGTAATTTATAATATCTAATACGGTTCTCTCGTTTTTACATATTGCTATTCTTTTCGCCTCATATTTCTGTCTATTATCTCTACTTACTCTCTTCTCTTGCTTTTTGTGCTACAAAGAGGGAGTGTGGCAACTCGAACTGCTACACATCTGTGCAAAGTACTACGTTGAAACCATTCAGTCAATCGTAAAGTGCGTCACACAGGAATCGAACCCGGACCTTCCACTTGGTTTTTAAGCTATTCTACCATTGAATCAATCGACGCAGTAGAATAAAATAACTTCAAAGCTATTGAATCTCATTAGCGGAAACTGTGTGTGTGTGAATCTATGCTTAAGAGATTGTTTAAGTGATGAGAAAGCGGTTACTGCAACTTTGTTACAAATTACCTCTATTATTACACCTGTGTCTCTTCGACTCATATCGAGAACATACAGGAAACAGATACTGCATAGTCTCTGCTATTTAAGTGTTTGACATGCTTTCTTTCCAATGTCGACAGAAATTAAGACAAATAGAAATATTTTAAGTAATTCAATTCAGTAATATAAGGTATAACATTCTAATTGTTAATCGCGATAGATAGATAGACTGTAATGTAGACAGCCAATCAATATGATGTGACCTTTTGTCGCGATTATTGGTTAATTTAATGTAAACTCACACCACGTTATGTGACCACTCTGTGCGTCGGTGGCACAGTGGTTAGGACGCTCGCCAACCATCCACATGGTCCGGGGTTCGATCCCCGGCCGACGCACTCCTTTACCTCGCTAAGCCAGAAATAATGCTGGTGAAGAGGAAAGGTTGGGCATGAAGCTAGCAACCCCATCCTGTAAAATGAACACTGCTACAGAAACTCCAAGGCACAAGCTTGTAGCCCTATGTTCCACTGTGGAACGTGAAGGAAAAAGAAAAAAAAGAAAAAGCCAAGACTCTGTATTGTCAGTACTGATCGGAAGGACTAAATCTGTAGGCAAAATTAATCCTACAAAGTTTCGAACAGTAATGTCAGACGAAAAATATGAGACTATGCCGACGTTAACTCCACAGTCAGAAAAGAGTAGTGAGACTGATGCCCCTGGAAGCAACGAGTATAAATCAAACTATATGGTAGAGTTGGAGCTAGGAAAAATGCGTATAGTTCAAATAGAGAAAGAAATTGAATTGGAAAGATTACGACAAGCTAGTCGTGAATGTTCTGATCATAATAAGTCGCCTTACAAGCCTTCTACCTCTCATACAGTCGCTATATCTCCTAACGATGAGTTCGCCAGAGCCATGTCCAAGTTTCTGGACATGCCTAAAAGAGAGATTATTAAGTTTGACGGTAATCCTGTAAATTATTGGAATTTTATAAAGAATTTTGAAGACCTGATGGATAATGATGCTATCGGATACCGAACTAAGCTAAATTACTTAATTCAGTATTGTGAGGGAGAAGCAAAAGGTGTAGTCAAACACTGTGTTTTGTTAGAGCCAGAGGAAGGTTATTGTAAAGCTCTAGAACTGTTAGAAGAAGCATTTGGGTAAAGGTATGTTGTGGCCCGGACTTTCATAGAGAAACTCCTGGAATTTCCGAATGTTAAAAGCAACGATGCAGCATTATTAAGAAAGTTATCTCACGAGATGCAAGCCTGCGAACTGACATTAAAGCAGATGAACTATGTTTCAGACTTGAATTCTGGTAAAACTATTGAACAACTAGTTCTAAAACTCCCTGTCCATTCACAGAGAGAATGGATAAAGATCGCTTGCAACGTCATAAAGAGCGGTCGCGAACCATCATTTGGCGACTTATGCCTGTTTGTGTGCTGAGTGAGTGCAGATTTCCAAACTGATTTCAGAGTATTGGAGGTGTACCTTGCCTTTCCGATTCTGGTTTTGACATCCTTATCCGTGATGTCTGTCTGTAGTTGAAACGATGCTGCCTAAATAATTAAAGGAAGTGACCTCTGTCAAATATCTCCTGGTGATGGTGACTGGTTGTTGTTGCTAGAGAAGACCGGGGTTTACACGAAGTCCTGTCTTTGCTGCTTACATCTCCTGCCCATTTGGTGGTTATCGCTTGTAAGTCTTTGAGTTTGTGCGATATCACGCATAAATCATCCTCGAAATCTATATCTCCTAGAGTTTTATCAGTTCAATGTGTTCCTGTCTTCTTCCAGTTCACCGCAAGTATGAATACCATCGGTGAATTAATAGTAGTCAACCTTGTCTTACCCCTGTTTTCACTTTGAGGGCATCGCAGAGTTTTCCGTTGTGAATCACCTGATATGTGCCTTTGTCATATAGCTGTTGACTGAGTTTACTACTAGAGATCCCGGGACACTGCATTAGTGTTGAAGCAGTTTCTAAATTACTTCACGGTCAACGCTGTCGAAGGCATTTTCAAGGTCCATGAGATCGAGGTAGAGAGAGATCTTCGACTGCCATCTTATACTCTGTTCGATGATGCACAGATTTGCTATTTGATCCGCACATGATTTGCTTTTTCTGAATCCAACTTGTTCAGTGGGGGGGGGGGCGGCGTTCTGCACTCAGTGCATCATTTAGTCTCTTCAGGATGACGCGACGTAGTATTTTACTCCGCATGGACAAGAGCATGATTCCGCTTCTAACTGTATATACAAAGCTGAATTTACAATACATTTTTTTTTAAAAACTTCCAACTAACCTGATCACCGAAAACTACACGTCCGCCAACAGACAGTAATAAATTCGACATGTTGAATGTTGACAAATTCTGCAAGAGGAAAAAGAACCACTCTCAATACAACATCTGAATAGAGTAATTATTTTCATGTGAAGAAAGATAATACATGTATAACTATCACCAATGCACAATACGGAAGGGCAAAACCTTCAAATAAATACAACAGAATTATAAATAAAAGTCTTGTCAGGATGTTAGGAACTAGAACACTACCGCTAAATCGGATGCTGTTATAACAAAGATTTTAATCTCAGCTCTAATCACCATCCTCTTACACAACATGAAGATGTTGAACCAAGTTAGTCTCAAGACTGTCCACACAATATTACACTAGAAAACATATCTGAAAACAATTTTGTTCAGGAAGAGTGTTTTATGACTCCGCTCTCCCTTTTTGGAAATCTTTTCCTTCCCAAGTTTTCCTAGATAAAAGAGATAAGATAACGCAATGCAACACAGTGAAACTAAACAAAGGACTGGACACATCACACTAGTTACTAACTTTTTTGATCATAGATGTCTACGATCTCTTTCTCACGTTAGGTGGTATAATAAGGTAAGTAATGTTGACGTTAGGCGTAGAGTGTTGGGCAAAGAAGGAAAATCAATCGACGAGGCTATAAAGTTACATAGATTGAGATGGCTAGGCCACATGCTGCGAATGCCTAACCATCGCCTCCCCCACCCCGACAGGCATTACTAGCTGATACAGGTGCAGGTTGGAAAAGAGTAAGTGGTGGCCAAACAAAAACATGGCCTCATCAATCCATGAAATCCTTGACAGTTCAACTGAGTCAGGTAGGGAGGGAGATGCAGACTTCCGGGTTGGGGCCCGCCCTCGGGACTCTAAGAATCAATGGCTGGAGACAATAGGTGACATGGCTCAAAATCGTTGTCAATGGCTTACGTAGATGTATTCAGTCTCTGTAATCTTTCATATTCCTTTCTACCATTACTCATTCTGTTTCACTCTTATACTTGTCAAAACTCTATTGATTCTCTTCCCTCATCTTCTTGTCTACCTTTGTGTGCTATTTGGAACGTGGCAACTGGAACTGCTGCACTTCGGTGCCAAGTTCTACGTTGAATCCAGACAGACAGTTACTAACTAGTGTCCAATCAAAAATATCCAATACAGTAGTCCAACAGGAGGTGGTCAATCGCGAGCCCGAATAGCTCAGTGGTAACGTCTCTGAGACTGCAGCTACTGATGCGGATTCAAATCTCAGAAAAGGACATGAATTCCTTCAAGGTTGCAGATACGCCTTGCTGACTGACTGACCAGTGGTGACTGCCAACTAGCATGAAACCTAGGCCCAACTAGGGGAGGGGGGCTTTCTGTAGCCCACTGCCTCCAATCAACTTATATCAACAAAATTCAAAAGTACACCGTGATGACGAGCAACCCAAAATGGTGGCCACATTGCAAACTAGTGTGCAATCAAACAAAACAACAACAACAAAAATAAAACTTACAGCTTTAAAAGATCTAATCATGCATTTAGCCTGTAAATCCCATATCACTACAGTACCATCCATATCATAGGTAACAAGACGATAATTCGCCAGTAATGATGGTGATAACTTATTACAATCTCTACGATTTTTACCAGAATATTCATTATTATTATTATGATCAGCATTAATTCTTGTGAAAAGTTGTAAATTTATTGAACCCGGATGAGCGCGTCTTGATAACTTTTTACTTTGACCTGAATTCGATACAATCGGCTGTTGTTGTTGTTGGTGGTGATGTACGGTTGAAGCAACTCCAAAACCACCATTGCTAAGAAAAGTTAACTCAACTAAACGTATTTCAAGAGGTTTTATTAAAGCTTTATCTTCAGAATTATTTATAATTTTGTTGTTGTTAGTGGTTGTATTGAATAACAGATCTAGATAACACACGTATAATGATCCAGAAGCATGACTGACACCAATTGCAAACTAGAAGAGAATTAAATCAACACAAGTGTGATATATATATACAAAGTAGGCAGGCGATTAAAACAAGCATTGAATTTAGGCAGCATGGGGTTATATATATAATTTGGCTTTGAGAAGTGCAGCAGAGAGGAAAGAAAGAACAACAACAACAACAACTGCAAAAGGCTGGTTGGTTAACCGAAATGTGTGAGTCAACTAAACATCTTTTTTCCTTCTTTACCACATAAAATATAGAGGCGGCCATTGAGAGTAACGCAAATGAGCACACTGAATGATTTAATTTATGTATATGCACACACCAATGATCAAAAAGAGGTTTAGTTTATTGAGAAATGAGATCAAAATAAATGAGATGGTTAATTTACATTAAAAAAATTTTTCCAAGTGATACAATGTTAAAGAATGATAATGATGACAATAGTAATAATAATGATAATAATAACAATAATAAATCTACATACGAACACTGTTGTCGACCAATGACGTACGATTGTTTTGTCAATCATTTCAGAGAGTGAACAACTCTCTCCGCACTTTTTTTTATACATAGAACTGAACAAATCATTAGTATTCGATATAAATTAGACCTTCAAATTTGAGAAATATGAAATTCTATTATTAGATAACTGTATAAGAAGAATAACCGGATTTATAAATCAAATCAAGGGTTTGTAGAATTTCAAAATTTTGATAGGAAATCAAATTTAAAGGTGGGATTTAATATTTCATCAATATATATATAGAAGATGTCTTATTGGCAGTGTATTTAATTGAACGTTTATTTTCTATTCATTACTGCTGAAGCCTACCACATAGAAGTGAGAGTCTCGGAGTTCGTCTGCCTTTCTTCCTTTCTTTCTGAAAATCCTGTGATAAGTTGTGTTTCTGTCTTCTTGCTTCCCACAGTCTGATGCATAATCCACTTCACCGCAAGTAGGAATATCATCGGTGAATTAGTAGTAGTAGTAGTAGTCAACCTTGTCTTACCCCTGTCTTCAATTAACAAGCACGTTAATATAGACGAAATATACCAACTAATAAAAAGTAAATCATGTGACCAGAAAGTTTAAAAACCAAGTCAATAGAAAATGGTCAATACATATGTAAAGATGGTTACCGGGAGACGCGATTCTATCACTCATGAAGAAATTTAAATCATTTCACTTTATGCTAAATATTGCGCTGAAGGGAGATGTTGTCCAACAGGGGGACGACGAAAGCTCCGCAACTAAACCAACCAGCTCAGAGAACACTATTAATTGCAAATCATCCACCTGAGCTACGAATCTTCTCTATTATTTCAATAAGTTGTATTCTGTCGGAAAAGTTGAGGATAATCGGGATGTATTCGTAATCTTCCAAAAATGTGAACTGTCCCTTTAGAAAATTGGTCTAGAACAATATTTCACTGGTGAGGAAGACTAAATAATCAAAGTAAGACTTTGGAATTTTGATGTGTGCGTCGATGGTTCAGGGGTGGAATACTCGACAACCGCGTGTGCATGTGCTCTCCAAGGTTCGATTTCAGGACGACACATTCCTAAACCTAGCTTAGCTAGTATAGTAATCTGGTAGAAAGGGGAAAGTTGAGGCGTGAGGCTAGTAAAATCATCCTGTTAAAACAATACAAGTACTACTGAAAATTCAAAGCATAAAAACCTCACAGCACTTTCGGTCCCACTCGGTACGTAAAAGGAAGAAGAAAGTGTAAAAAATATAATATATCAAATTGACACATATTGAAAAAGAACAAAAAGAGAAAAAATAGAAGTGTAAGGATACTAAACTGTCAACAAAGTTTAAGCGTAAGGCAGAATATAATTTGATAAGTACTAAAGATATTTGAAAAATTTCAATGAATACTTTTCAGTCATTTCGCTGAAGACTTTCCAAACACTGATTGTTCGGCGGCATTCAGACAAACTATCCTCTGCTCAGATAAACATCCGATGATATCATCAATTTTGTTCATGTTTTGGTTTCAAAATACCCATTTCAATTAGCCTTTCATGTTGAGCAAAAGCGTTAACTTGGGAAGTGTGCTGAGCCGTCTAGTCAACTGATTTAAAAATAAAACTTTATATTTACTCTAATGCGGAGGAGATTTTTTGATGTGGTATAAAAGGACGACGAATTTCTAATTTTGAATCACCAGCATTAGTTTGAACTCAGTTACTGGGACATGAACCGGATTTACTGTGTGAGATATGATGATGCTGACCAGTGAGTTGTCGAGAATGAAGCAATTAGGACGGATTTAGAATTCGGCACCCAATGGTTGATAGATGAGTGCTTAACCTAAGGAACCAGTATTCCCATATTACTTGAAATACATTAAGCTTTACACAGAGGAGGCCCCAGAAAAAGAGACTATATGTACCGGTATGCAATTATCATACAGAATGGGATATATAATAAATAATGATCTGAAATGATCTGGGATCAACAGTTTGCAGAGTTATTATTATTCGTTTCTAGTAGGATATAGAGTTTTAGCTGCGCATATCTAGTCAGTTTTGTCAGGTTTTTCTGTCGTCGCTTTCACAACCAGTTCCACCACGACCGCCTGAAGGCCTTTATTTCCTCATCACACGATCCTTTCCATAGCATACAACCGTTTGTTTATTTCCACAACTGTTGTTTTACTATAGCGAAGTATAATCTCAATTGCTGAACTTTTATTTGACTCCTTATGCCTTTCTATTGGGAATGAGATAATTCTATCTTTCCAAATCTAAGAAGGTTATATTTACCGAGAAGAATCTATTTCGTATGAATGTGCACATCAAATGGCCAGAAAGAATTAGCAACAAGAAACACTGGGGTAATGCAAAAACTAGGAACCTATTGCTCAGCACAAATATCCCAAAGAAAATGGAGATGAATCGGAGACACGTTGAAGAGATCGTCATTTGACATTGCGTGTCAGACCAGCCCTCAAGTGGAACCCGAATGAGAAACGATGAGTGGGGCCACCACGGTTGAAATGGAGGAAATCGCACGGCGAAGAGACGAGAACCTATGCGAAATACTAGGGTCAGCAAAGAGGACCACAGAGAACACGATGAAGTGGAGATGTGTTCTTCATTCCCTATCTTCCACTTCGAACCCCCACACAAAAAAATAATCAAATCCCTAAAAACCAACACTTGAATATCACTGAGATGCTCACTAACGACTGGCAATATTCAGGTAGGTAGTTACCTGGGGTTCTAATGGGAAGCCGTGACCAGTAGGATACAGCGGGTCGGGTGTGAGGACAAATGCTCGCCATCAAGGACATTAGGTAGTGGTCACACCATATCATCCATTGGCGGAAGTTGGAGTTCATGCACTGGCCACTGGATCGGTTCCCAGTGGTTCAATGGTCTACGAGCTAGCTCGCCGACCTTTTAACCAGAAGATCCTGGGTTCGAACTCTGGCGATGGGTGCATGCTGATAAAGAGTCCCAAACTAGGCTGACCAAACAGCTGTCCAGTACTCTCTCTTTCTCCTCTCAGGACCCAAGGAAACAATAATAATAGCAATGTATTATTAGTGCTAAAATATGTAAGTAAGTACACAAAAAACAAAACAAAGAATAAATTAAACAGCAACTTATGAACAACTTACGCGATTTAAAGCCATACTGAGGACAGGAGTAGTGTCTATTTCACAGTGAAATAACAATGGACTATCATACTCTGAGGAACAAAACTAAGAAGAAAACAAGGACCATAGCAAATTATTCTAATTTATATAAATGTTTAAGATTTAAAAATGAAAACAAAATACTGTAGCTACATTTTTACACCTGCTTATTATTGTTGTTTTAATAGGCGACTGGAAATCATCAGTTTATAGATAAACTATATTTCAAGAGTTAGTTTGTAGGGGTTTGATTTGTTTCACGTTTGGCAATGGACTGATGTCAGTTAGAGAACCATTGAAAACTAGATGGGAGTACTGGACAGCTGTTTCGTCAAGCGCGTAGATCATTAAGCCGTTGCGATCCGACTCAATGGGTTCCACCCTCCAATAACACTGGCTAGTGTTTGCGCTAACATTACGAATTAGTAGAAGACAGAATTCATGTGTGTTGGTCTCAGTGGCTGATTAGTCTACGAACTCACCTAGTAACCGGAAAGTCTTGCGTCCGAGCCTAGTGGATGCGTACTGCCAGTGAATCCCAAACTAGGACGAAATAGCTACTCCGTAGTACTCCTTAATTTCCGGTAGGTGGTCGCCTAACTGGTTGAGTTTTAATCTCAATATCATATAATTAATTCGACTGCTAGCCATTTCTTGTGTGCAGCTTAATCCATTGTTTGGCTATTTCAGATTCTTGAAGAAGACATCACAAATATACTATTTATGATTGGTTACAGGATTTCATCATGAGCTGACATTGGTTAGAGAACCATTGGAAAACAACACGGGAGTACTGGACAGCTGTTTCGTCAGCCTAGTTTGGGACTCTTCATCAGTTCGCACCCGCCGCCAGAGTTCGAACCCAGAACCTTCTGGTTACAAGGCGAGCTAGCTCGTAGACCATTAAGCCACTCACTGGGACCCGATCCAATGGCCCAGTACTCCCAGGTTTTCCAATGGTTCTCTAACCAATGTCAGCTCATGATGAAATCCTGTAACCAATCAACCAAATCCCTACAAACCAATACTTGAATACTATTTATGAATTCATTGTTAGTAACACATGATATAAAAATAGTTGCTGTCGTCTACATTATAATGCTTAACTTTTATAGAGTGATCATCTTATGTAAACAAGTTGTATAACTTAAGTATGAGAAATGACTACAAAATATACACTGAGGGTAAAAAAAAACAACTAACATTTCATGGTCAGGTGATATGATTATTATCTTTGACTGACTTCAGCTTCTAAGGAATGACCTATAGTGTATAACTATTATTTTATAAAGATGTTGCAGGTGAATAGTTGGTGAGACAGAAATTTCTCTTATGAAGGTTATAATTATACCAAATGACATTATTTGAGGAAGTATTCAAAAGTACAGATAGATGACTAATTTTCAGGAGATGAAGATATATATATATATATGCTAAAATCCACAGTCTACGTGACATATAAACCAGATATTCGACTCCAAAGTCAAAACATTGGTTATGTACAATAAGTATAATGAATAGCTCTCAAGTTTTAGCTTGATTTCATGATAGATCACGCACCAACTCCAGTTAGAGAACCACTGAAAACCAGGGAGTCACGACAGTCGTTTCATCCTTATTTGCGACTCTTCAGTAGTCGTTAGCTCAAAAACCTCAGGGTACAAGGCGAGCTCGTATACCGTTCAGCCAAATAATCCATCAATTCTAACTAACTTCTACTAATTCGCAACATTTAGCGCCAACCACCAACCAGTGTTATCGGCTAGTATATATCCTCACATCCAACATGAGGCATCCCGCTGGTCATGGAATTACTACAAAAACTTCGGCCAATTTCATTCTGTAGATTAACTTTCAACCTTTGGTTTGCGAGGATTTCAAGAGTGATCACGTATTGACTTATCGCAGGATTAAATCCCAGTAGTCCAACAGTATATGAGCTCATCTGGTAATCCGAAGATCCTGAGTTAGATCCCTGTTGGGGTCATGAGTGCGAACTGATGAAGAAGACCAGACGAGGATGAAACAACTGTCCATTACTTAAGTTAGTGCGTGATCTAATCTTGGTAAAAATAAGCTGTAATTCCTGTTATTAGATGGTTGGAGGCAACTGACAGGAAGTCTTGGAACTAGTTTTCGTGCCTATTGGTACTTATCAGCAAGGTGTGTCTGTTGTAATTTCTAGTGATGAATCTCTGCTTTCTCTTTCAATTTTTTGTGTGTTTCTGAGTGTAGGAAAAGTATTCGAGTGATCATTGGTATATTGTTTCTGTATTGAAGTAACAGTAGAACGAACGCAAATCCAAGTATCATTAGTCATATCGATAGCTAAGGTTGAGTAAATCAAAATCAACTAACTAATGCATCAAAGACACGTGTATGACATCAGATGTCATGAAGATTAAAATAAAGCTAACTGTTGAACCCAAGAAGGATTTATGAATGAAAACTTTGTAGGCCGAAGGTGTTATAGTGATATATAAGACAGTTAACCAATGAATTATCCTTTACTGTTGACATGGTGATCAAGGTCAGTCTCGAAATAAACCAATCAGGATTGGCCTACATATAATAACAACCAATAACTATTTTATTCATCATGATTATAGACAACTAATTGACATATCCTTGGTGATTTTTTGAATCATACCGTGGCTGATACTGAAATGTGCTTTTCAGTTCACGTCATTGTGTGTTCTGGCTTAAAAAATAGAGCGGGTTGGAGAACAGGTGGTAGCTGTTGTATAATGTTATTGGCATAGTCAAGCAGTATTCGTGATTACAGCGTTTGCATGCAAATCGGCATCCCTACCTCCATCTCCATGTTATTGCAAAATATAAAAGTGGTGTGAAATCATGAGACATATAGATATAGGCTAAATAGAAGGAAGCATAAATCTCAGCCAAAAAAAAAAAACATCGACCAAGATATCAAACAGGTTAAAATTACACACACACTTCGTCTGTCAACTCACTTTAATACAACCATCTTCTGATCCACTAATCACAATAACACCAATATCATTTGAATTCATATCGGGCAGATCATTATGATTTTCAATAATACATTTATTAAAATATTTTAAAAAGTCCAACTGAGTAATTGCACGTGTATGTACATGCCATTGGCATGATATTGAAGAAATATGAAGAGAATTTCCTTTCGGATACGCTAAATGGAAATAAGCCACTATTCCACAACTAGTTCCAACACAGAATCTACGAGTGACAAAAAAAACAAAACAACATTATTATGATCAAATGTTATTCTTATATGACCTTATTGCATAATCAAATCAAAGTACAGCACAGTGTGAAGTAGTATTATTATATTATTGTTCTTTTGGAACACAGGGCTTCGACAGCACATCTCCACTGTTTCCGATTCTCTGTGCTCCTCTTCATTTGGCCCCAAGACTTCCTACAGACTTCCGTCTTCTTGTCGTACTATCTCCTCGGAGGTCCCACTCGAGAGCTGGCCTGACGCGCAATTTCATTTGACGGTCTCCTCAGCGTGTGTCCGACTTGTTGAGTAGAAGATTCTTGATTGGTTCATCCCCAGAGTTAGATATTTACATCAGTTATCATGCAGGGAACAAAAAGTAGACACAATGCCGTCTGAATGCCGTAGTAGTGGTAAGATATCTCAAAAATTGAGTAGTGCGAACAAGCATATCAGAGGAGACATGAATTCCCCCTGGATTTCGGATATGTTTTACTGATAATTACTGACGGTTCTGAGGGAAACATAGGGCTAAGGGGGGGGACAAAGTCGTTACAATCTGTTCTCTAAAGCCATTTTTAGTTGGCTTCACAATTGCCCATAAGCTTTCATTTCGTCCTCACACGGCCAACTCGCCGTTTCGCCTTCAAGTTCCATTTGACAGCCTGAGGAATGATACAGTGGAATGTAAGTTTAAAGCTTCACGCCAACTAACAGCTGGTTAACCTTTGATATTGTACGTTATTTCAACTTCTTTACTAAACAGAGTGCGGCGAAATTTCCCAATGGTTTCTTTTGGGAACCCAAGATATTTATATCACATATGATGTAATGCAAGACTAAATCAGTTTCAATGTGTTACTTATGAGCACGGTCTGCATGAATGAAACGACAGTATGGTATTTCTGCTGACTTGTTCTTATCATCACGTATTAATATACAGCAGGACACATCATACAGTACGAAGGACACAATCAAATATCATTGAAAGACTGATGCACTCAGGAATAATTCACATCTATTCGTTAAAGCTTTCGCTATCTCTCACAGGAGAACAAGTCTTTAGTAGCCTAAGAGTTGGCCAGCATTTCTCAGCTAAAATTTCGCTAAAGTATATTAAGGTAATAATATGTCACATCAATGCTGGTAGGTGTTCTAGACCACGAAAAATTAAGTTTCTTGAGCTAAAGCCAGTGTGACTGAATAAAGGTGTAGCTAAGACCTTCAACAGTCCCATATTAGATCACTTTATTCAAACAGTCCATTGAAGGGCCTTTTCCTATCAACTATCAGGTACTGAATAAGACCTCTAGATGTTGAACACTTGAAATAGCAGACACCATTGGAATTCACTTAAATCAACAGGAGCTCTGTGTGTCAAAAAAAACAGGTCTAGTTACTAGTTCAACCATGGCCTATTGTGAAATTTGTAAATTCATAAATTCTGCATTACTTTCCTTAATTTACTTGCCATATTACCTTTTACAGACGCCTTTGAGCTGTTTCAGTGCAATTTAAAACAGCATCAATGTTGTTAATGACAATAATTCTTTAATTATTATTATGATCATACAACTGTAGAGCCTGATGAAGGCGTAATCGAAAAGAATATTCTTTGCTCACTAATCAGTCCTTTAAAAACTTTTAATGGATATCTCCAATCATCAAATATATGAATGAAGGGATGTGTGAGATGGATTTCATAAGAATTCATTAGACAAATTATGTTGAGAATACAATTACTTAATAGAGATTCCTCAATAATCACTGGTGTAAGAAGATTGAATACACAACTTTATTTCAGGATTTCATCGTGAACTGACGTCGGCTAGAGGACCACTGAAAGAACTGGGAGTACTCGACAGTTGTTTTATCCTAGTGTTTGGGACTCTTCATCAAAGCGAACCCACCGCCAGAGTTCGAAGCCAGGACCTTGTGGTTACAAGGCGAGCTCATGATGAAATCCTGAAACCAATGAAATCTCTGCAAACCAACACTCGAATAACAATCTGATGCCCACTTGTAACTGGCCCTATTCAGGTAGGTAGTTACCTGGGGTTCTAGTGAGAAGTCATGACCAGTGGGGTACAGTCAATCGGGTATGAGGATGAATACTCGCCGCCAATGACATTTTATAGTACCAGTCGCGCTATATCATGAGTTGGCAGAAGTTGGAATTCAAGGACCACTGGATCGGACCCTAGTGGTTTAGTGGTCTACGAGCTAGCTCGCCTTGTAACCAGAAGGTCCTGGGTCCGAACTCCGGCGATGGGTGTGTGCCGTTGAAGAGTCCAAAACTAGGTAGAAACAGCTGTCCAGTACTCCCGAAACCAATCAAATCCCTGCAAACCAACACTTGAACACAATTTTATGCAACTGAATTATTATTTTCAGAGTATTTTAGCCAGCGAGGTCTACAAAGTTAAGCATGTTACGTCTTTATAGAAATGTCAATTTTACAGTCACGTGCATGAACTTGTATACAAACATTATCCTAACTATTATCTGTTTAAAAATGAGCATTGGAAATTGTTGTTCTCGGATATTGTAGATCAAGTAGCTCTAATACATTTCCATAGATTCAACAACCATCATAAAACTGAGGCATGAAGGACGTCTTTATCTGGTGCAATGTGAAACGCAATTCAAACTTGGCTTTATCTATACGTGAAAGCCAAAATAAATTGTAAAAATTTGCCTTTTTTTTAAAAAAAAGCTGATTGGGTATTTCCACTACTTTCAAGTAGATGAAATTCTTATTTTCACAACGAATTTATTAGTAAACGCAACAAATAATCAAAGCTAGAAAGGATATTATAAATGCTTAAACTAGTTGGGAGCAACCAGGCCAATGATAACGATTGAGATAAAAAAAATGTGTGAATAGTATTTCTCACCTTGTTTCATCAATAATTCGCATGACTGTTATTCCTCCAGGATGTAAACGTTTAGGTGAATCAAAAGATTCTTTTATTTCCTTGTCAATTAATGTCTGCGTACTATTGTTGGTTTGTTTTAAACACAGAATATCTATCAACAGTCCAGATTCACAATTCCAGATCTATGATAAAGAAATACATTGAAATTATAGAGAAGATTTGTAGCTCAGGTGGATGATTTGCAATTAATGGTGTTCTCTGAGCTGGTTGGTTTAGTTGCGGAGCTTTCGTCGTCCTTCTGGACAACATCTTCAGCGCAATTTTTTATCACAAAGTGAAATGATTTATAAAACACAAAATAATTAAGCAAAGAATATCCTTTTCGATAAATTCCTCTTCCAGGCTCTACAATTATATATATATGTTTATATACACAGAATATTTTAAATTAGTAGTTAATAACAATATTAGCGTTTTTTTAAAATAATATCGATTTGCAAAGTATGATCAATGCAATTACAGTTCATTAAAGGTGCTTAAATTATAATAATAATAAAGATATAATAGCGAACAGAATATTAACTAAAATAAGGAAATTTCCACAACAAATTGAGGATCATTAAAACCTTAATGGCCAAGGTAAGGAAAATGTCTGAACCAGCTTCTTTTGGACGCATAAATTATGCTTCTTAATGCGGATCCCAACAGCCTCAGCAATATTTGGAAGTCGAATTCTTAAGGTGAAATTGAGATTCGTAGGTGTGCGGTAAATGACCCTGAAAGCATGGTTAACATCAATCTTGTGTTCTGTCTCCACAAGATGAGACAGAATAGCGCTGCAAATAGATTTTGTTTGTCCTTTGCTCAACCACTATGCAGGGTGATGTTCGGAAATCCGACGAGAAACACGCCTAATTGTACGGTCTATGTTACTGGCTCACTCCACAGGAGCAGTTAAATTGGTAGATACACATGGAAGAGGCAAAATTACGCAGTTTATCTTTTATTCCCGAACGCAGAAGAGGAGTGGTTTCGAAGATACAGCGTAATTCAGCAGCAGGGAATGCTCTTCTTACCGCATTTCTAAGGCACTGTGTTAGTATCTCACTGGTGTTGTCGCTTAGGAACTGCATCTGTAAGAAAAAGGCCTTTTTTGGAACTGTTGGTAATTTGGGCTGTTTTGGTTTCAGATTTATATTCTTATCAATAAACTTTTCAGGATAACCATTCCCACTTAGCAACCGTTTAATATTGTTAAGTTCCTCGTCAAGACATGGATGATACTTTTTTGATTATGAAGAACGAAAAGGAAGCAAAGAACATCCTGGATAAATTTAATGAGGTACATCCTGCAATAAATTTTACTATTGAGAAAGAAAAAGACTCTAGAATTTCATTTTTACATGTCCTTATGACCAGAAAAGAGGACGGCACAATAAGAAGTGTTTATAGAAAACCTACATCAACGGGCCAGTACACACATTTTCTCAGCTTTATACCCTTGAAATACAAACGCAATCTAATAAAGTGATTGATCCACAGAGCAAGAGAGATTTGCTTACAGGCCGAAGTCATTATTAAGTATATCTACAGAAACAATTTTAACATATTTCAATAAAGCAAGAACAACAGTTTTTGCTGTAATATTACACCTATATAAAGGTGAACAGAAAATTGAGGACGTCACTAGGCAGAGCCTTTCTTCCAGGTAAGCTCGTTCCCGTCTATCGACACAACTTGCTCTTTAGTACAATCAAAAGTCGACAGATATCCTTCTCATGTTAACTCCAAGTGTATAGACAAATTTACATGTATCTGCGGGAGCAGTTACATTGGAAGGACAGAAAGAAGGGCATATCTACGATTATTTGAACATGTACCAAAAAGCTTATGTCTAGAGGGAACAAATGCTTTAAACAGTGCCGTCGCCAGGCATCTCTTTTACATAGGTCATGAGGTGGACGTCACAAGATCGTTCAAAATTATCAATAGACAAAAGAGTTCAAATCTCCTCAAGTTTGCTGAAGCCATCTCTATCAGGCGCCTGAAGCCTGATTTATGCGTTCAGAAAGAAGTAGTTGTCAGTATTCCTTTGCCCTGGTAACTGGATATTTTCACCTCTCTTTCATATGATAATGAAATGTCGAAAGTTTCCATTGTGTATGACCATTATTGTTCGGAATAGTGTTTCATATTACTATATATATATATATATATATATATATATATATATACAGTGATATATATATATATATATATCACTGTATGCTTATATCGATTGACTGACTTTTGTTTAAAAGTGAACTCTGTGCAAGTATGTTAAAATTGTTTCTGTAGATATACTTAATAATGACTTTGGCCTGTAAGCAGCTGAGCTGATGAGAAGCCAACGAAATAAACAATGATGGTACCATATTATTCTGCACAAGCCACCACTGTTGTTCTTGCTTTATTCAAATTCATTAAGGGGAATAAATGTATGGAATATCATTTTCACTCTACAATTGGGATAAAAACAAAACCCCCAGTAAGTCTTCGTTTTTCCTATGCTCGAATGTGGCAACTTTGTTAGATTTACGATTACAGACATAATAATATATGATAGCTTTATTCTAAACAGTATTTTTGGTAAAAAAAGTATGGAAGTTTCAGCATGTATTAGTACAGTATTGCATCTAATTTTCTCATTACAGGGGTAATAATTAAGACGGGGCATTTACATTGATAACATTGAACCGTTCACTTAAAGTTACTCAGTAAGTTGGTAGCTTCCTGCACTTAACTTTTCTCACCATTACATAAAATCTGTGCTAAATAAGGTATTGTAGAGTTCTTAATACTTTGAGCATACAGTCTTCTATACTTGCTCCTAACTCTACTTGTTGAGATGCAAGGCGACAGTTGTGTATAGATAGAGAGGATGCCCAGAGTCTTAAACGATAATATTTGCTAATTTCTTTCAGGAGTCCATGTGTCTATATCCACAGGAGTCTATTAACGAGTTGGTTTAGCGACACCCTACTCACCCTTCGCCGTATAACAAAGTCTTTCCTAATTAGCCCGAGAAAGATTAAGGAGGAGCGCCAACGAAGGATAGGTAGAATACGAGAGTTCACAAACTTAAAAAGTAGAGACTGAGTGATAACAGATCGTCTTAACTTCCTTACGTTGAACGTTAAAAAAAAATCCCATCTTTCTGGAAACTAACATGATATAAGAAGATCAGGAAAGGTGATTAGAGGAAATACACAGTCCAAGGTACTTAAATAGAATGTTACATTCAATTTAGTTTCAACCTGTGTGCCATCTATGTATGATATTGGAATTATGAGAATTAACCAGTTCATGTAAGTCAAACTTGCGGTTAAAAATGAAATTAATAACCTGAAATTTGGAGGAATTTAGCTCCTGTCTGTCTGGATTCAACATAGAACTTGGCACCGAAGTGCAGCACTTCGAGTTGCCACGTTCCAAATAGCACACAAAGGTAGACAAGAAGATGAGTGAAGAGAATCAATAGAGTTTTGACAAGTATAAGAGTGAAACAGAATGAGTAATGGTAGAAAGGAATATGAAAGATTACACAGACTGAATACATCTGCGTAAGCCATTGACAACGATTTTGAGCCATGTCACCTATTGTCTCCAGCCATTGATTCTTAGAGTCCCGAAGGCGGGCCCCAACCCGGAAGTCTGCATCTCCCTACCTGACTCAGTTTAACTGTCAGGGATTTCATGGATTGATGAGGCCATGTTTTTGTTTGGCCACCACTTACTCTTTTCCAGCCTGCACCTATATCAGCTAGTAATGCCTGTCGGAGGAGGCGATGGTTAGGCATGCGCAGCACGTAACCTAGCCATCTCAATCTATGTAACTTTATAGCCTCGTCGATTGATTTTCCCTCTTTGCCCAACACTCTACGCCTATCGTCAACATTAATTGCCTTATTGTACCACCTAATGTGAGAGAGAGATCGTAGACATCTATGATCAAAAACAGTCAACCTTTTCATGTCTTCAACTCGTATTGGCCAAGTTTCAGAGCCATATAGAAGGACGGAGAGAACTGATGAGCAGTACATATGTCCCTTGGTTGATAGCCTACGCCAGAGACGGTGTAAGTTAGCGAAAGCAGCCCGAGCTTTCTGGGTCCGTGCTGTGATTTCGTCGCCAATCAGTCCGTTGGTGCTGATACAACTTCCCAAATAGGTGAAGTGGTCAACATGTTCTATCACTTCACTCCCTATCACTAAGCTAGGAGTTGATGTAGTCCAGTCCTGTAGCAGCATCTTACATTTTACCGGGGCGAATCGCATGCCAAATATACGAAGATCGCTGCTCAAGGTGTTCAGAAGAATCTGCATTTTGTCAGCGTCCTCCCCTAACAGGACTATGTCGTCTGCGTATTCTTAGTCTATAAGACTATTCCCTGGTAACAAGTCGATTCCTAAGTCGTTAAGTTCAGTTAAGGATACTTCCATTAGCATATCTATGATGAAGTTAAACAGAAATTGGGAAAGTGGACATCCTTGACGGACACCACTGGTTGTTACCAATTCAGATGACAATTCCCCATAAGCTCTTACATGGCTACGTGAGTTTGAGTAGAGTGCCTTAATAAGGGCAATGTACTTTCTTGGCACTTCCTTCATAGTCAAACATTACCATAGTACCTCTCGATCCACGGAGTCGAAGGCCGCCTTCAAGTCAAGAAATATGGCAATTGTGGAATTTAGCTTAAGACCATTTGGAAAAGGCCTCTGACTAATTTCACTTTGATGCATGAATAACATAAGAATGTGTAACATTAATACAACACAAGAAGTCAGAATTTGGTTTATATTTGCTTATATTAATTTTAGGGAGGTAGCATTACAATAGGGCGACCATCACACCACGTTTTAAACATTGATTCCTGTTTGATCACAGAAGCTACACGCAACGTTGGCCACAGAAAGTACTTCCATGAGTGACCAACTGGGAGTATCACGTGTTCCCAGCTTAAGTGCGTCAGTAGTTCAGCGATGGAATGCTCGCAAGCCAAGTAGGGGGATTTGGGTTCGATTCCCTGCTGATGCATTCCTAAACATCGGCTTATTTACTTACTAGCCAATAAATCAGGAAAGGTTAGGCATTACACCCATTGATGAAACTTCAGATCTTGGAACCTTATATTCCAATCGGATCGAAAAGCAATGAAAAATAACTTCAATAGCGAAGTAGGTTTAGAGTCAGTTTTATTTTCATTTGAAAGACTAATTAATAGCTTATGAACTTATCCATTAATACTGTATAAATAATTAACAAGAGAATCAAATAGCAATTTCTTTTTGTCAATTTATCAAATCTATCAAATAAAAGTTTGCTCTAAAGAACTACGTCATCATCAAATACTTACTTCAATAGTTCCATCACTGCATCCAACAACTAGAAGTCCTTGTGATAAGAAATCCATACACCAAACAGTAGCTGTAAATAGTATTTAGAAGGCAAAAAAAAATCATTTTTTTATTCTAGAACATTTATTTACAATCTTTGGATAATACGAAATAAGTAGTTTTTCTTTTCAATTTGAAAAAAAAGAAAATGGCACCACTTTATCAGACTATGATATGCGTAAATGACACCACTAGAACTGCTATTGTTTATAATGAAGATTGGTAATCTGTAAGGTACCACAATATAAAAGTTGGCATCGCATTATTAATAATTAATTTTTCAAGTATTGTTTTCCAAGAATTTGATTACAATCAGTTAGAATTGATGAGCTATTTTTTCTTCTTCGTCCTATTGACTCAGTGGTCAACCCATTTCTATTCAACTTCATCATAGACGCACTAATGGACTTAACCCTAACTCACTTCAGAGACTCAGGGATTGACTTGCTACCAGGGAATAATCTCGTTGACTTAGAATATGCAGATGATATAGTCCTTATAGTCGAGGACGCTGACAAAATGAGGCAGAGTCTTCTGAACACCTTGACCAGCAATCTTCGTATGTTTGGCATGCGATTCGCCCCTGTAAAATGTAACATGATTAGAAATAGGAGGTGAAGTGGTAGAGCACGTTGACCGCTTCACTTACTTGGGAAGTACCATCAGCCACCCAGCGGGTTGATCTCTGACGACATCTCAGCACGGATACAGAGGGCTAGTTTCGCATGCGCCACCAGTTTACGCCGTCTCTGACGTAGACGTGATATCCGGCTATCGACCAAAGGGCGTGTGTACTGCTCAATAGTCCACTCCGTCCTCCTTTATGGCTGTGAGACCTGGCCATTGAGAGTGGAAGACATGAAAAGATTAGCTGTCTTCGATCACAGGTGTCTGAGTTATATCTCCCGTGTGAAGTGGTATAATAAGGTGAGCAATATTGAGGTAGGTAAGGCGGGGAAATCAGTCGACGAGACTGTGAAATTACATCGACTAAGATGGTTAGGACATGTGTTACGTATGCCTAGTCATCGCCTTCCTCGACAGGCAATGTTAGCTGATATAGGGTCAGGCTGGAAAAGAGCTAGCGGCGGTCAAACCAAAACATCACCTCATCAGTCAATGAAATCTACAACAGTTAGTCTAGACCACATAGGAAGGTGTAGACTTCCTGGTTGGAAACAATTGGTGACATGGCTGAAAATCGTTCTCAATGGTGCAGATGCATCCACTCCTTGTGACTTATGATTTCCAGTTAAACTGTTTTGTTCTTGGTTATTACTGTTCCTTTGTCTCACACCTCTGTTTACTGTCTTTATTATGCATGTCTCCTACTTTCTTCTCTTGCTTGGTGTGCTACATGGAGTGTGGCGACTAGAACTGCCGCACATGTGTGCAAAGTTCTATGTCGAAAACAGACAGACAGACAATGGTCAACAGGTTCGCCGAATAAACTGAGGGTGCTGGTTCCACTCCTGGTTTGGTCGCCTATGGGTAACTACTGATGAAGAGTCCAAAAAGCTACGACTAACAACTTTCCAATCCTACCGGGTTTTCAATGGTCCTCTAACTGCTGACGGTTTTCAGACTATCTGACTGACTGGTTTCAAAGTAAAACTTTGCACAGATATGCGCACAAGTACGAGTTGCCTGCCAATCTCCCTCCATGTAGCACACAAAGCAAGAGAAGAGAGTAAAGAGAGACTCAAAAGGGAGATAATAAACAGAAATATGAGGGAAAAAGAATAGTAATATGGAAGGAGAATAGAATTTTATTGGATATTATAATTCAAAAGGAGTGAACGCATCTGTGCAAGCTATTGAGAACGACGATTTTGAGCCATATTACCAATTGTCTCCAGTCTTCATTGGTTTTTACCATCCCGAGGACCCCAACCAGCCAGGCAGTCTACACCTCCCTACGTGGCTGGCTTAAACTAACTGTTATGGATTTCACTGTCTGATGCCACTTTTTGCTTTGAGCATTTCAGCCTATCGCTCTTCTTGTTTCAAACAAATGACAAAGAAAACACTAAACGGGATCGATGGAGAGGTTGATGCGGGGAGGGGTGGGGAACTTCAGATCGAGAAAATCCATACAATGACTAAATATTTCGCAAATAAAACTGTTATAATTCAAAGGATCAGTTAATAATGTGATCTAACAAGGCAGAGTATCGTTTCAAGTTGTCATATTCCCCTATAACACAAAAAGAAGGATTTAGTAAATATACACAATAAGATTTCCATAGATAAAAACGAGTCCGAATGTAAGAGAGAAATGATTTAATTGAAAGCTAGTCGTAATTTTGAGAAAATTGCACTATTAAAAGCGATTTCATATAAAATCATATACACTCTGCAAACACTGATTCTTCTTATCAACAAATGACATCAGTCAAACAACACTTAGTGTTCTTTGTACATCTAAAAACTGACAGTCAAAGAGAACAGGAATCTTGACCTTTCAATCATTGCTGCTTCCAAATATAATAAATCTTACCCGAGCTAACATTGACCACAGAAGACAACAACCAACACATGTGCAACACGGACATATCGATTAATTCGCCTAGTTCACCTGGTAGTACTCAATGTCTAACATGAGCATTGCTCACTTCGAATTTTATTATTTTATTTATTATTCCCTTCGGTTCCTAGTGGAACATAGTGCTTCAACAACACATCTCCACTTTCTTCTATTTGATGCTTTCCTCTTCCTCTGGGCTCACGATTGCCTATAATCTCTCATCTCCTCCTCCCCAAACGATCTCCTCCATGGCATCTTCGCCACGATGACCCACTTATCGCTTCCCATTCGGATTCCACTCGAGCGATGGCCGGCATTGCGCGCGATGTCATTTGACGGCCTCCTCAACGTATATGCCCAGTCTATCGCCATTTTCTCCTACATACTTGTTGGCAGTCTGCAACTTATTGGAAATCACTTTCATGACACGCAATGCAAGTTTCTGACCCGTATAGAAGAATTGACTGACTTCACATTTGTTTTGAAAATCCGAATCTTGTTCTTTATGCCGCGGAGTGCAGATTTCCAAATTGGTTTCAGGTTGACGAAGGAGTATCCTGCCTTTCCGATTCTAACTGGTTTTGACTTCTCCATCCATTCCTATAGCCTATTGGTTGAAACTGTGCTTCCTACATAAGTGAAGGTAGTAGCCTCTGTTATGTCTCTCCCTTTGATGGTGACTGGCGCTGGTTGTTGTAGCCGTTGCTGTTGATTAGTTATCTTCATCACCTCCACCTTCCCTATGTTCACCTGAAGTCCTATCTTCTCTGGCTACTTCTTCAGCCAGTTTGTGTGACATTAGACATATATCATCTGCGAAATCCAGATCTTCTAAAGTCTTCTAATCTGTGGTCCAACATATTCCTGTCTTCTCACTAACTGTGCACGGTCTGATGCATAATCCAGTCCACCACAATTAAGAATATCATTCGTTATAATAGGCAGCCAGCTTGTATTACTTCTGTATGCACTTTGAACGCCTCACTGAATTTTACGTTGTGGATCACCTGACACATTGTGACATTGTCACATAGCCAGCTGTTGAATGAGGTTGATAAAGACTTGGGCACTTCACGCTGTAGTGTTGAAGTAGTTTCCAAATTACTTCTAAGTCAACGCTATCTGTCGAAGGCCTTTTCAAAGTCGATGAAGTTGAGGTAGAGGTTTGACTGCCACCTAATGTTCATTTCGAAGAATGTATTTAAACTGGCAATAAGACGACAATAAATTATAAATTGAATGTCGTGAAATAAACAGACTGACAGATAATTTCAAAAAAAATAAAACAATCATTACAGCAAAACTAGATACATGAATTAATTTGAATACTCACAAAATTTTCGACAAACAGTTGGTGATGGTAGACTCTTTCGCTTAGCGATTGCAGCTTCTGAGTATCTAAACATTTGCAGGAGAAAAAATATCCGTTTAAGTCTTAATGGTTTTGTTCATTAAAAAAAAGCGTACAATGCTACAAACCAAAAGGAGGGTGTATTTATACATTTGGAAATCCCAGGCACAAATGCAGTTTAAGCTTCATTTGTTGTAATTAGATGGTTGGAAGCCATCAACAGGAAGCCTTGGTTCTACGTTTCGTGCTTGTTTATACTAACCAGTCAGCAAGGTGTATTTACTAACTTGAAGGAATTCATTCCTCCCCTGGGATTCGAGCTGTGTCACTCAGGATGCTGTAGTCAGTGAGGTTACCATTGAGCTATTTGGATTCACAGTTGACCTCCTGTAGGACTATTTAGTAAATAGTATCATGAATCTGCTCCTTTTTTAAGAAGACTGAATTCTATCTGTCAAGTGCGCAATGTGGCCACAGCATTCCAGGTGGTTCAGCATCACGGTGCCCTCTGAACTGTTGCTATTAGATGGGTTGGAAGCAATTGACAGTCTGCAGGAAATAAAGCACTAGATGCATATAACTAGTGTCCAGTTAAAGTAAGCTTCAACTGTAAACTGACAAATTTAATGCAAGTACGTGCGTGTTAAGCCAAACTGTATCATGCAAAGTATGACAGGACTCGGCTTCAGTAGAGATTATCAAATCTCCCAAATCTACGATGAGGTTATTTTACTATTACAAGAAAATGCATTAAAAATCAACTAAAGAAGGGAGGCAATCAAAATGTAAAACAGAATAGAGAGAGAGAGGGACCTTATGAAATATGTGAAGACTTATGTCTAAGGCAGCCCAACTGTACCTGTTCTGTGATAGTTAATGGCATAATTTTATCAAAAACAGTTTTGGTGATGCAATCGGATCAAAATCATATACCATTCTACTTGATATCCAAGTGGTCAAGAAAAGGAAAGAAAGTCTCAACGAATTGAAACAGAATAGAATAACTTTCTCAACACATACATCTATTTGAAGTCTCTAATTATCGATTTATAAAAAGTTACACATTCTTTCAAGAAGTTCACAGCATAATAGAGTAATATGATTGAATAAAACGAAGATATTCATTCAGACATTTGGAA